CGGTTCTCCTATTATAGCCTACTGTTTTTCATCAATATATCACAGGTCTCAGATATACCTTGGTTGCTGATTGGCTAATGGTTACACAAGACAAAACATTATGACATCATAAAGTGGCCAAATTCTGATCAGCTCATTTTCAGACAAAAAGAGAGAGAATCTTTGTTCCTGAAACTTTCAGAGTCTCTTTCCACAGAGGGGACACACGTTGATGTAGAAGGACTGAGAGGGGACACATTGATGTAGAAGAGACATGAAGAAGAGGGGACACATGTTGATGTAGAAGAGACATGAAGAAGAGGGGACACATGTTGATGTAGAAGAGACATGAAGAAGAGGGGACACATGTTGATGTAGAAGAGACATGGAGAAGAGGGGATACATGTTGATGTAGAAGAGACATGAAGAAGAGGGGACACATGTTGATGTAGAAGAGACATGAAGAAGAGGGGACACATGTTGATGTAGAAGAGACATGAAGAAGAGGGGACACATGTTGATGTAGAAGAGACATGAAGAAGAGGGGACACATGTTGATGTAGAAGAGACATGAAGAAGAGGGGACACATGTTGATGTAGAAGAGACATGAAGAAGAGGGGACACATGTTGATGTAGAAGAGACATGAAGAAGAGGGGACACATGTTGATGTAGAGAGACATGAAGAAGAGGGGACACATGTTGATGTAGAGAGACATGAAGAAGAGGGGACACATGTTGATGTAGAAGAGACATGAAGAAGAGGGGGACACATGTTGATGTAGAAGAGACATGAAGAAGAGGGGACACATGTTGATGTAGAAGAGACATGAAGAAGAGGGGACACATGTTGATGTAGAAGAGGGGACATATGTTGATGTAGAAGAGACATGAAGAAGAGGATTTTGCACAATAGGGGACCTTTAAAACACATTATCCACAGACGTTAGCATGCTGAAATCTCAGTTCTCTCCATCATATCTTCTTCTCTTTCATGTGTTTCCTGTAGTCGTAAAGTTTAGCTCAGGAGCATCAAACTCATTTTAGTTCAGAGGTCAACTACAGCCACATTTCATCTGAAGTTGGCCAGACCAGTAAAATCATAACATAATAACCTATACAAACTCCAAAGTGTTACCTTTTGTTTCAGTGCAAATCAGTAGATTCTGAATATGTTCACATTTGATGACAAAACAACCTGACATTTCTTAAGAAAAACAAGTGCAATTTTAACAGTTTTATGCTTCACTTTATCACTTACATGCAGGGCTGTTTCTTCCTATAGGCCAGTGTTTCTCAAACTTTTTCATACCAAGGACCACTTAACCAATAAAAAAACACTCGCGCCACCTAACTCCACAAATATCAAAAAACACATCGTTTTTTACAAATCGCCTGAAAATTGTACAAACAAGTGGCCACATGTGTGATGAAGGTGTTGCGCTGGGCTATATCATGCAATCGAAAGTGAAACTTAAGCTCGCTCCATTGCGGAGATATTCCCGCGAGAGTGCGAAAAACTTTAATTAATTAATTAATTAAAAATGTGAAATTTTACCAATATACTCACGGGCCACTAGGGGGCGCTCACGGACCACCAGTGGTCCGCGGACCACACTTTGAGAAGCACTGCGTATAGGCGGACCATGCAGATGCATAGGGCCCCCGCGGCCACTAGGGGGCCCCCAAGCTGAAAGTTCAGGTTCAGCCTCAATATATTTGGGGAGAATTTAAATTAGCCGTCTTTATTTGTAGACAGCCGAGCCCTCCTGTGTTCGGTGAAGCATTATATGCTTAAAAATCAAATGTCGGATATGAACACAACTCAACTGCAATGATAGCAAAGCTGTGGCTTGAGTTTGTGGGGTAATAAAGTCCAAATCATCGTTGGGCTGTCACATTGTCGAGAAAATGCTGCATCTCTTGCATTCATTGACGTAGAGGAGACTTATTGTTTACCTTTTTAATATATTTTTTGTAAGTTTCAATTGCTTGGTTTTCGTGAAATTAGCCTGTTTTCCTCTTAAAGTGTAACAGATTGATGCGTCTCCACAGACCATCTGAAAGGCTTCGGAATCCCCCCATTGTAGTTAAAAACTGTAAAAACTTGGGCCCCCAAACAGCATCTTGCACAGGGCCCCCAAACAGCTAGAAACGGCCCTGCTTACACGTGTGCATTACAATGTATAGATCAGTGTATCTAGAAAGGCAACGATATCTGGAACTGAACAATATAGTATTTTACTTTATGATCAAAACAACTTTTCAAGATCTAAAAATTATTTTACGTTCATTTCCACATCTGTGTAGTAATCCTGACCACCTGAACTAACACCAACATGCAAACTAAAATGGGAACTATTAAGGAAGATGGTTAAGTGATCCCCCTGCCTTGTAAACGTATATAATTTATACATTGAAAATTGTGAAAATTGCAGTTAATGTATTCTCTGTAATGTGTACACTTTGCAAAGTCCGTATGTGTGACACCCCTGAATTATCCGCCGACGTTAGCATGCTGAAATCTTTGTTTTCTCCATCATTTCCTCCTCTTCTTTCATGTCTCACCTGCACTGAGTCATGTGAAGTGGTCTGCTGTGTTCCCTGCAGTCGTACAGTGTAGCTTCAAGGACGCAGCTTTAGTGCCACAGCTGAAGAAACAAAGAGTGTGACTCCACTTAGCCCGTCTGCTTTCGTGTTTTCCTCTTCAATCTGCCCCACAGGGGGGTGTGTGTGTGTGTGTGTGTGTGTGTGTGTGTGTGTGTGTGTCACATGTGTCATAGCTGCAGTGTGTCTGCTGCTTGTATGGGATTATGTAAAGCAGTGCTGCAACCTGTTAAAATGTTTTGCTTGTGAGTCAGAGCCAAAACGTGCGTTGTGTTTAAAGCGTCTGCTGGGAGGTCTGGTATGCATTTCTTAATGAAGGCCAGGCTACGAGCTACAGTGGTTCTGGAGGAGAAACTCAGGTTCATATTCTTTGGTTAAAGGTCCCCTATCATACTGTTTTTCATCAATATATTATAGGTCTCAGATATATACAGAGCCTGTCACTGATTGGCTGAAACACCAAATGGATCATTGCAGCATTACCCATAATCCCCTCTGTTTCAGCCCTGTTTCCAAAGTGCTGATTCTCTGTCTGTTACTTTAGATGAAAATAAGGAGCCCCTCCCCACGCCCCTCTGAGAGACATTTGGTTACAAAGAACTCAATGGTGCTCTAGAGGAGATTCAGGTGATAAGGGGGGGGGGGGGGGGGGTTACCTTGGTTGCTGATTGGCTAATGGTTACACAAGACAAAACATCGTTATGACATCACAAAGTGTCCAAAATCTGATCAGCTCATTTTCAGACAGGTTTTTGACATGTTGATGTAGAAGAGACATGAAGAAGAGGGGACACATGTTGATGTAGAAGAGACATGAAGAAGAGGGGACACATGTTGATGTAGAAGAGACATGAAGAAGAGGGGACACATGTTGATGAAGAAGAGACATGAAGAAGAGGGGACACATGTTGAGGAAGAAGAGACATGGAGAAGAGGGGACACATGTTGATGTAGAAGAGACATGAAGAAGAGGGGACACATGTTGATGTAGGAGAGACATGAAGAAGAGGGGACACATGTTGATGTAGAAGAGACATGGAGAAGAGGGGACACATGTTGATGTGTAAGAGACATGAAGAAGAGGGGACACATGTTGATGTAGAAGAGACATGAAGAAGAGGGGACACATGTTGATGTAGAAGAGACATAAGAAGAGGGGACACATGTTGATGAAGAAGAGACATGAAGAAGAGGGGACACATGTTGATGTAGAAGAGACATGAAGAAGAGGGGACACATGTTGATGTAGAAGAGACATGGAGAAGAGGGACACAGTGTTGATGTAGAAGAGACAGAAGAAGAGGGGACACATGTTGATGTAGAAGAAACATGAAGAAGAGGGGACACATGGTGATGTAGAAGAGACATGAAGAAGAGGGGACACATGTTGATGTAGAAGAGACATGGAGAAGAGGGGACACATGTTGATGTAGAAGAGACATGAAGAAGAGGGGACACATGTTGATGTAGAAGAGACATGAAGAAGAGGGGACACATGTTGATGAAGAAGAGACATGAAGAAGAGGGGACACATGTTGAGGAAGAAGAGACATGGAGAAGAGGGGACACATGTTGATGTAGAAGAGACATGAAGAAGAGGGGACACATGTTGATGTAGGAGAGACATGAAGAAGAGGGGACACATGTTGATGTAGAAGAGACATGGAGAAGAGGGGACACATGTTTGATGTGTAAGAGACATGAAGAGAGGGACACTTGATGTGAAGAACATGAAGAAGAGGGGACACATGTTGATGTAGAAGAGACATGAAGAAGAGGGGACACATGTTGATGTAAGAAGAGACATGAAGAAGAGGGGACACATGTTGATGTAGAAGAGACATGAAGAAGAGGGGACACATGTTGATGTAGAAGAGACATGGAGAAGAGGGACACATGTTGATGTAGAAGAGACATGAAGAAGAGGGGACACATGTTGATGTAGAAGAAACATGAAGAAGAAGGGGACACATGTTGATGTAGAAGAGACATGAAGAAGAGGGGACACATGTTGATGTAGAAGAGACATGGAAGAAGAGGGGACACATGTTGATGTAGAAGAGACATGAAGAAGAGGGGACACATGTTGATGTAGAAGAGACATGAAGAAGAGGGGACACATGTTGATGTAGAAGAGACATGAAGAAGAGGGGACACATGTTGATGTAGAAGAGACATGAAGAAGAGGGGACACATGTTGATGTAGAAGAGACATGAAGAAGAGGGGACACATGTTGATGTAGAAGAGACATGGAGAAGAGGGGACACATGTTGATGTAGAAGAGACATGAAGAAGAGGGGACACATGTTGATGTAGGAGAGACATGAAGAAGAGGGGACACATGTTGATGTAGAAGAGACATGAAGAAGAGGATTTTGCATAATAGGTGACCTTTAAACTCGTCTCTGTTTCAGTGTAAGCGTGGTGATCGGAGCTCCGAAGGCCAACACAACGCAGTTCAACGTCACCGAGGGAGGGTCCGTCTTCTACTGTCCCTGGAGCATCGGCCAATCAGACTGCCACTCCATCGACTTTGATAGTAAAGGTAAGCTCATTTTAAATACACAATAGCCCTGGTTCAACTGTAGAAAGTAGGTTCTAACTTAAGTTGCCACTTAGAAAACATTTAGAAGCACTTGCAGGGAGCCCTAAGACTTCTGTTATGAGATTTTGAGCCATACTGAAAGCTGTTAATATGTCACGATTTTATAAGTTACACATTGAACGCATGGAAGTTAGGTTCAATAGGAACTTTCTATTGGAATGTACGGTGGCCAAAAGTTGCAAATGCGCTTCAACGCTACTTCCAGTAGGAGAAACGCGCTGCAGCTTCAGAAACGAGGCAAATATTTGTTTTTAAATGTGCCAAAACACATGAAGAGACATCTTCACCAACTTGAAGAGAACACATGTTTACTAAAAAAGCTACATCATCGAAACGTGGAAATAAAAAATTCCCCCTATTTTGTTTGGAAGATGAATGCTGTGCCATCATTTTAATTGTGCAAGGATTGCATGTGACATGGTTTGTGTAGAGATTGAGAAACTGGAGCCAGTGTTTTGAACTCTCCTAAAATAGCTGAGGTTTGCTGCTCTTCTGTACACTTGTGGAGCCATCAGAGCATTTCCTCTCCACTCATGCAGTCAGAAACAGATCAGGACTAGGCGTCAGCGCCCCCCCATCATCCACTGACCTGTAGGGCATCCATGTTCCTGTTTGTGTCCCTGTGTTCGTGGATGAAAAGGATAAGGGGGCATTGAAGAGGTTCCTAGAAGGATCCCTTTCCTTCCTGCAGGCCTTGTGTTTGTGCTGCTTTGCCCTCAGGAGCTGTGGACAGATAATAAACCAGCAATAAACAAATAGGGCACACAAAGAAAGGTCCTGTTTGTATTTAAAGGTGAAGCAGACACCGCCGGCCCGGACAAAAGACTCCAGTTGACTCAAAAGGTGGTTTGGGAGAACACGAGGAGGATGTGTAATGAATAGATTCAAGTGTCAGTGTCTTGTCAGAGCCTGTTTGGCACAATGCAGCGAGAAGAAAGGAGCATTTAAGGTTAAAAAAGGACTGCAAGCTTTCAGGTTTTAACCGCATCAATCACACGTACAGAGGGAGAGTTAACGCGGTGCTTTTGGCTTCTTTCCTGAGAAATCAAAGCTGATGCGTTGTCCTGAAATGCACGATAAGGAGAAATGTTCCATAAGCCTGCTTTAACAACGCTATTTTTATTGGACCCCGCTGCTCCGGTACCTTTTGCTCCACTGTTTTTCTTTGCAACATGAACTGGCTCGATGCCACGCAGAATGATGTCATGTGCAAGGCCTCGCAGTGAGGGGCTGTCGGAGAGCGTCCTTCAACATTTTTTTTTTGGAAGGATCCGACATCTGGATCAGGACAGACTCGCTGTACAGTGCATTCACAGAAACACTCGGTACAAGGACATCTGCATGCAAATGTGGCCAAACCGATGTTAACATGCTGCAGTTCAGTTACTGTAGCTGTGACGGATTTCAGTTTAATGCTAAGGAAGTAAAGAGACAGTCGGATGTTTTTCTCTGCTATGAATGATTGAGTAATGCCGAGCAACAACATATGTCAGGGTTGAGGGAAGCAGGCAGGACCCAAACGCAGATTTAAACAGAAAATACCTTTATTTCAAGGTTAACTAAAAAACAGAACTCTTCCCGTGAACACAGTCAAGACAAACAACAACAACAACAACAAGGATCTAACAATGACTGACAGAAAAACCAGAACTTAAATGCACACGAGACTAATCACACAAACAAGACACAGGTGAGGAGGGAGGAGAAAACACAGGGGCACCAGGTGAACACAATCGGGAAATCAGACACAGGAGGGAAAACACAGAGGCCGTTTCTCAATCGCGAGGATGCTGGCTTGGTAGTCGCGTACTTCCAAGTCACTTCCTTCAGAAACGAAGCCAGTATACTTCCAAGTCACGGCTTCGGAAAACGAAGAAGAATGGAACAGACTAACAAGTGTGCCACTCTCTCTAACGGTTTCAACATAAAATGTACCGAAAATAAATACCTCACGATGTCTATCTAATTATGAACTTGCTTTACTTTCACGGAACACATTTTTGGTGATAACAAATGTAACAAAATAACATATGTTCTACGCCACTACTTACATTTAAATGTGTGCTGCGTCGGTTCAGCCATTCTCCGCAAGGGTTTTTGAAATTGGTCCGTGCGCAAAGCATTGTGGGGATTTTAAGGACGCGAAGTCTACCCATGTGCAGCCTCGAAATTTCCCCCAAACCAAGGACGCGGCCTCGGTGGAATTCCAAGAATGCTGGAGATTGGAACAGTACTTCGGCGGCACTCGATGACGTAGCATCCTTGAAATATTGGCTTGGAAGCCAGAATCCTCGAGATTGAGAAACGGCCAGAGACAGGAATCAACAGACAAGACAGGGGGTGAACACTTTTCAAAATCGAACAGGAAACCAGAGACAGACAAAACACAACACAGACAGACCGTGACAAGATATTCTATAAATGATTCCCAAGATAAGTGAGCGTATCTGGCCGCTTAAATAAAAAGCTCATCACGACGTGTCCTTTTTATAAAGTTTCTGACCTTTTCAGCAAGTCGCTAGTGCCATTCTACCATTTGTGCTCATTTTAAATACACAATAGTCCTGGTTCGACTGTAGAAATAGGGACTTTTTGGCATTTCAACTGCAGAAAGTAGCTTCTAACTTAAATTGGGGTACATGCAATTCACATGATAGTGTCAACGTGGTTTAGAAAACATTGAGAAGCACTGGCAGGGAGCGCTAAGACCTCTCTTTTGTTTGAGCCATTCTAAAAGCTGTTAATATGTCAGGATTACAGGGAAGAGAGATTCCTAACCCTATAGAGAGGTGCAGGAATGACGTACTGTAGGCGGACCCTGAAGGCAGCATCTCCCTGGTCCAATGGGACTTTTCCTTGTGATGTTGGCAGAAAATAAGATAAACATTTATGATACGTTATGTTCAGCAGGATAATCTCCACATATTAACACCACTTTATGATTTGTTTTGTACGGGTTTTAGGTTCCTGCCTTTTGGGTAGCAACATAGCTATAGTGTAGCCATAGAAAAAAGACAATGCCTTTCAATAAACGCCCTTCTTTTCTGCCGGTGAAATATGCTTTGTGGACCCTCTCCTGTTAAAGGATTGCTGTCTCCTCGAGTATCGGTACGTCGTATGTTTTGACCATAAAGTGGTGTCAGAGGTCTGTCGGTGAGTTTGAGCTCTGACCCACAGACCCTCTTAATTAGCCTCACTAATTGGGTCAAAGTGGCTAGAAAAAGCCCCCCCCGTCCCATCCTACTTCCTCTTGCATTGAGATAAGAGCCGGCCTATGGATCTAAGTGGAGGGAGGATGTTAGGAGGGCACATACAGGATGGGAAGGAGGGAGGGATAGGAAAGAAAAGATTCAACGGTTTTAATGTCATATCCACACAATCTACAGTGTAGGAATGGCAATGAAATCCTTCTGACCTGAGCTCCTCCAACAATGCAACTAGTTATATAATAAACTACTAAAAAATAGTGCAAGAAGTCTATATACATGTAAATAGAATATGATATGTACAAGAGGGGAGAAACCAGAGCTGTGTGTCCCCCAGGAGCAGCTGATGTGATGAGTGAATTTGGCCATTTGTCACACACACACACACACACACACACACACACACACACACACACACACACACACACACACACACACACACACACACACACACACACACACACACACACACACACACACACACACAAACACTCACAATGCCACTAATGGCTGTCGTCTCACACACAGTTCAAAGGCTATAGTAAGACCCCCACAATGCACTGCTGTTCCCTGGAGATCCCAGCAGCTGCTCTAACCTACATCCCAAGGGTCTGTCGGTCACATAACGTGTTGTTGTGTCCCCTCCCTCTAGCTCGCCTCTCAATCTCTTCTCAAATGTTCTTCGAGGCCTCGGTGGAGACACACACGGAGCGTTTCATCGCCTGTTATGGTGACGCAGAACTAAAGCTAGAACGAATCCTGCCATGTGAGAACTTATTGAGGCCGTACTCTCGTTTACATGGTCGGATCAAAGTTGTGCAGTAAGAATTACACGAGGACTTATTGCAGCTTCTTGAGGTTCACTCAAGCTGATTTTTCTCATATGAACCTCAGATAAAGGGTTGAGGATCTGCTCCACACTACAGGAGGTTCAAATGTTACAGCTAATGGCAGCATTGAAGTTACAGCGAATTTCATGACGGGCGTACAAAATCTGCGGCAACACCATGGCTATGTTGTTCCGTGTAACAGAACGCTTTTAATAACTTTTCAAAGTCTTTAGAAGATACTGATCAAATGTGAAGTCCATTGGATTACATCTTCACGAGAAGTTTGTGAAATTACAGCAAAAAAGAATCACGCTAAATACGAAATGGCAGACTTTTTATTGGGATTAGACAATGGCCCCAAGAGACTTATTCGTATGTCTACATGTGACATAAGTGCTGTTCAAATATGGATAAGATTACAAAGTGGAAAAGTAGCCAGTTCAATTGGTTAAAAACAACCAAGTGTCTTCCTTTCGAATGTGTCTGATCCTTTTCAGCTCTTATAGATAGAAGATCCTGAATCTATTTGTCTATAGGCATCATCAGACTAACCCTAACCTCTTACCCTCTTACTTTGTATTTTATTATATATGTTGCATTGTTGGAGGAGCTCAGGTCAGAAGAATTGCTTTGCCATTTCTACACTGTAGCTTATGTGCAAATGACAATAAAACCTTTGAATCTTTACCCAATGTTTATTTTCTTACGGTATCACGCAACCCAGTCTCACGGCATTTCATGTTATAGTCACGACATTTAATCTATTGATTCGTGTTCAATAGATTAAATGTCGTGACTATAACACGAAATGCCGTGAGACTGGGTTGTATCACGCTAGCCACAAATAAATTGTCATCAGCTCGCCAAGTTTGTGCTTGGGTCTGGTAGTCCGTTGTCCGGTTACAATGATTGTCACATACAGCTCCTCTGGGACATGTCTAGAATAGTTTCAAGGCTGCAGTACATGTGTAAAAGTTCTTTTTTTGGAAACATAACTCAAGTCACTGTTCAGCTCCTTACCTTCCCCTGGTGGCTTTACATTAACCTTATCCAAACAAAGACCCCGAGTTATGAAAATATAAGGGAAGTGTACGCTGAAAGAGAAAGTACCGTGCGGCTGAGGCGGATTAGGTAAGGCAACATGCTAATAAGGAGCCACTGTTTGGATAAAGCACTTACTTTCACACTTCTGACCACAATGAGGCAAGGACTCGATGGTGAGTAACGTCAGCAGGAAACTCCAGTGTTGGAGGAAAAGCAGAAAGAGAGTTATGTTATTAAAAAACTTCTGCTAACTGTCTCCAGTGAGGGGGAGCTGTACTCTACTGAAAGCCAAGGAGCGATAGGGCTTTGTATTAATGGCAACCAGGGCGAGATCGTGCAAGAGAAATGATAGTAAGATGGAGATAATATTGAAAATGAAAACAGAGAAAAGTGTATGTGAAAACAGAGATGAGTGAGGGGTTTCTGTGAGGAAGACGGGCTGGACAGAGTGTGTTTTCCTTGGATTGTGGAGAGGAGAGGGAGGAGAGGGAGGAGAGGAGGAGAGGAGGAGAGGAGGAGAGGAGGAGAGAGAGGATATAAAGAAGGAGGCCTGAGGCACATCCGGATCTCCTCACATGCTCTCAGGTCATGATCTCTGGCAGATTCAGCCCTCAGTCTATGCTAGGGCTGCTCCATTATGGCAAAAATCATAATCTCGATTATTTGGGTCAATAATTGTAAATGCGATTATTCATTGACTTTGAAAACATCCATTTATTGGAGAAAACATTGTGAACAGTATGTTTTTAACAGTTGATTACCTGAACCTTAAGTATAATTCAACAAAAAAAAAAAAGTAATAATAATAAAAAAATAATCGTTTTATTTAGATTACGTTGTTTTCGTAATCGTTGCAAGCCATAATCGTAATCGCGATTAAAATACGATTAATTGAGCAGCCCTAATCTACGCTCTTTGTAATATATGCATGTCGGTTGACCATTAAAAGTAAACAAGAATCAAATGAAGTACGAGGATGACATTTCAAGGACATATCCTTGCACCCTTTTCATGGGCATAGTCATGTGACGCAACCCATTGGCTTCATGGACTACGCTTTTGAACAAAATGGATCAAGAAAGAAGTAGGAAGATTTTCTCATAGACTTCTATACAATCTGCTGTATTTTAGAGAGGAAGCAGGTTTTCAGTGTCAATTTCTGTTTTGGTTTGATGGGGGATTGAGGAACTGCAGAGGGTTAAGTGGAAGAGTTGCACATGCTCTTGACCTCACATTTGCACTCCGCTCACAGATGTCAGCTGAATTCCTCGGTGTGTGTTTGAGCTGCGTGAGACGGATGTGACTTCCCTGCCCAATCGATTTGTTTGCATTTCCCTCTCCGTCCATCGCAGCGCAGACGTAGCATCTGTTTTCCGATCAAGTTGTTCTTAAATCTGACTCCCAGCACCATCTGTCATGTCACCTGCTGCAGTCAGAGCTGCCAGGTGGTCGACAGAGCGAGAGGTCAGAGGTTAAGCTAAAAGAAAACCAGGATCGCCTGAACATACCATGCAAAGTCCAGTGTCAGATGTACATTACATAAGGAAACACGGGTTTCTTTATATCTTGTTATTGTTCATTTGTAAATGTATATTTTCTACTTTCTTGTTTATTTTTGTTCTTTTAATTTGTATTGTACAATGCCATGTCTTTTTATGCTGCTGCAACGCAAACATTTCCCAAATTGGGATCAATAAAGTACTTCTTATCTGATCTTATCAAATACGGTTATTTGCAAACACATCTTCCACACTGTAAATTTTACATTTATATTACATTTTATATTTAATAATCCTTTCCTCCTTAGTTCCTCCTAGTTTAGTAACTAGTACGGCTGTACCCGAATATCCGAATATTCGTTCGTTGGAGCGCTATTGGGGTTTCAACTTCGTTATTCGGATATTCGGTTTTTTTTCTTCGTTATTTTGTTGTATTTATTGAAATCTCCAATATCAACGTAAGAGCTTGTGCCTCTTCGGGGGGAGCCAACACTTAAGCATACACTTTATCGTTTACTTTCTCCGTCTTTATATGTAGATATGACTTTTCTCCGTTAATCTCAGTCATGTTGTTTCCATAGCAACAACAACTTCCTGTCAACAGCGCTCTCCTTCAAAATAAAAGCATGTCCATAAAAAATAGGAAGCCAAGCCAAATTACACTTAAGACATATGCAACTGCAATGAAAGTAACGAACACAATGCAATATCCTTTTCAATTTCAAAGAACACACATTGGTTTACATTAACAAATAACTATAAAACAACAATACTATAGAATAACAAAATGAATGCCGTGAATAAACCGAAATACACGTGTTGAAGCGGTTCGCTGCTGATTACTACGCCTGTTTCTATCGGTGTGGGAGGGATGTTTCATCATATCACTAAGTGTCTCTTTCTTGTGTTTTCCCCCAGGTGATCGCACCGCGTTGCTGAACAACACTGAACATCAGATCGATTTTAAGTCCCACCAGTGGTTCGGAGCCACTGTTCGTTCTCACGGAGACACCATCCTGGTAAGAAGACCCTCTCAGAGAGGATTGTGGGGGATGGGAGTGGAAGGAGTTAAGTGTCAGATCTGCAGAAACAATACCTGCTGTTATTATTTCAGTTCAGTGAAGACTGTGAGAAACGTTCTCCTTGGAGTTATTAAACCATGCCAAACCATTAGAAGCGCTAGTACCTTAGCTTCTAACTACTACCATACATATTCTAAAGAAAGATGAATCAGACAAATGAAGATGTCAGGTATTCTGTTTCGCTGATGCATGTCTGTTGTGTTAGACAGATTTTTGTTTTCATGTTTCTATAGGTTTGTACGCAGCTGTGAATTATTTTTTTTTTTTTTCAGTAATGGGGAAATCAAGACTTTCTAGTGCCTGGTCCTTTCCATGAGCTATATAAACTATCAATCAATCAATCACAAAACTGTATTTATCCAAGGGAGTAATTAGGCGAACACCTGTTATAATATATAAACACAAGTAAATAGATAAATAAAAAAATAAAAATACAATCATCTAAAATAGAGAAGAGATTAATAAATAATTATAAAATTGAATATATTAGAAGTAAAAAATCAAGTTCATTTTGACAAGACTGGTTGCGCAATCTTTTGCACCAGGAGAGAAAGACTGAAATATATTGATTTATCACCCAGAAAGTTCTTTATTCGAAATTTGTCTCACAGATTAGCGTCTCTGAACTTGTCACTTGGGTGCAGTTCTCACCTCACCCACCGTAAAGAGATGTTTAGTGCCCCCCCTGATACTTCAAAGTGTGGTTTGCTCTGAGGTTCTCGGGTTGAGTTACGGTGTTACCGTGATCCAGATGTACTGCTGACCTCCTCCTGAGTTCAGCAGTGTGATGTTGCAACTGGAAAAATATCTCCCCGACATTTGTTTAACGGTCACCTATTATGCAAAATCCTCTTCTTCATGTCTCTTCTACATCAACATGTGTCCCCTCTTCTTCATGTCTCTTCTACATCAACATGTGTCCCCTCTTCTTCATGTCTCTTCTACATCAACATGTGTCCCCTCTTCTTCATGTCTCTTCTACATCAACATGTGTCCCCTCTTCTTCATGTCTCTTCTACATCAACATGTGTCCCCTCTTCTTCATGTCTCTTCTACATCAACATGTGTCCCCTCTTCTTCATGTCTCTTCTACATCAACATGTGTCCCCTCTTCTTCATGTCTCTTCTACATCAACATGTGTCCCCTCTTCTTCATGTCTCTTCTACATCAACATGTGTCCCCTCTTCTTCATGTCTCTTCTACATCAACATGTGTCCCCTCTTCTTCATGTCTCTTCTACATCAACATGTGTCCCCTCTTCTTCATGTCTCTTCTACATCAACATGTGTCCCCTCTGTGGAAAGAGACTCTGAAAGTTTCAGGAACAAAGATTCTCTCTCTTTTTGATCCATTTCTATAAAAACCTGTCTGAAAATGAGCTGATCAGATTTTGGCCACTTGATGATGTCATAACGATGTTTTGTCTTGTGTAACCATCAGCCCATTTGTAACCAAATGTCTCTCAGAGGGGCGTGGGGAGGGGCTCCTTATTTTCATCTAAAGTAACAGACAGAGAATCAGCACTTTGGAAACAGGGCTGAAACAGAGGGGATTATGGGTAATGCTGCAATGATCTGTTTGGTGTTTCAGCCAATCAGAGACAGGCTCTGTATATATCTGAGACCTGTGATATATGAATGAAAAACAGTATAATAGGGTACCGTTAATGCTTTAGTCTTAATGTCTTTCATTTTTGTAAAGCACTTTGAATTGCCTTGTGTTGAAAGGTGCTATATAAATAAACTTGCCTTTCCTTGCCTCCCACCTAAAAGTTCACCACATTAATCTCTTCCCTCCCTCTTTCTCCTCTCCTCCTCCTCCTCCTCCTCCTCCCCAGGCCTGTGCCCCTCTCTACTCCTGAGGACGGAAAAAGATTACCCCCCGTTCTGACGCCACAGGAACCTGCTACCACTCTCAGTGCAAAACTTCACCAAATTTGTTGGAATTTGCACCCTGCCGCACAGGTAACTGTCTCTTTGATTCATCTTAACGGGGCGGTATCCTGCTGGTGTTCAGGTGTATATCAGTATGTAGTGTCTTACTTTAAAGAGTCCTCTCCTGCTGGTGTTCAGGTGTATATCAGTATGTTAGTGTCTCTACTTTAAAGAGTCCTCTCCTGCTGATGTTCAGGTGTATATCAGTATGTAGTGTTTCTACTTTAAAGAGTCCTCTCCTGCTGATGTTCAGGTGTATATCAGTATGTAGTGTCTCTACTTTAAAGAGTCCTTCCTGCTGATGTTCAGGTGTATATCAGTATGTAGTGTTTCTACTTTAAAGAGTCCTCTCCTGCTGATGTTCAGGTGTATATCAGTATGTAGTGTCTATACTTTAAAGAGTCCTCTCCTGCTGATGTTCAGGTGTATATCAGTATGTAGTGTCTCTACTTTAAAGAGTCCTCTCCTGCTGATGTTCAGGTGTATATCAGTATGTAGTGTCTCTACTGTAAGAGTCCTCTCCTGCTGATGTTCAGGTGTTTATCAGTATGTAGTGTCTCTACTTTAAAAGAGTCCTCTTCCTGCTGATGTTTCAGGTGTATATCAGTATGTAGTGTCTCTACTTTAAAGAGTCCTCTCCTGCTGATGTTCAGGTGTATATCAGTATGTAGTGTCTCTACTTTAAAGAGTCCTCTCCTGCTGATGTTCAGGTGTATATCAGTATGTAGTGTCTCTACTTTAAAGAGTCCTCTCCTGCTGATGTTCAGGTGTATATCAGTATGTAGTGTCTCTACTTTAAAGAGTCCTCTCCTGCTGATGTTCAGGTGTATATCAGTATGTAGTGTCTCTACTTTAAAGAGTCCTCTCCTGCTGATGTTCAGGTGTATATCAGTATGTAGTGTCTCTTCTTTAAAGAGTCCTCTCCTGCTGATGTTCAGGTGTATATCAGAGTGTCTCTACTTTAAAGAGTCCTCTTCTGCAAAAAAGAAGATGTCTTTGTGACCTAGTTAAAGTAGCTGATTCAATTGAGATCCGAGTCTAAACACGGATCTGTAACGTGTGATTCAATTTGCTTGGAGAGACTAACAAACACTATTTTCTGTCTTTTTGCTTTTTAATCTATCCTTTTTTTTGTGTACCAAATTTCAATATCAGAAAGACAGCTCAAAAAAGCATGCATTTGTATTAAATGATATTACATTCATTCAATTGTTATTATTATTTATTTATTATTATTTATTTATTTAGATCGTCTACTTTTTTCAAAAACATTTCCAATCTTTTTATTTATTATTATTATATTTTTTTTGTTCCTATTTCTCTCTTTTTCTTCGTCTTTTCTTTCCCTGTATGCACAATGTAGATACAGCTTACACAACGTGAACAATTAAAAAAGCATGCAAAGAACTCAGGCTGTCTGGCAAACAATAAATAGAGTTGTAGTAAATGTTATAAATGGTTCTGTGTTGCAGAGATCAGTGACGCGGTGGGACAGGGTTACTGTCAGGGCGGCTTCAGTGCTGACTTCACCACGGTAACAACTCCTATTCCTTTATATGGGCAATACTGTGCAATATATACCTGGCTGCTAAATCCTCAGAACTGTTACAGGATGTGTATTTTGTAAGTTAAGATAAGTTAAGATAAGAAGTACTTTATTGATCCCAATTTGGGAAATGTTTGCATTGCAGCAGCATAAAAAGGTAATGTACATAAGAAAAATTAAAACTCTAGAAATAAACATTCCAAAATATTTCTGAAATAAAATATCATTAAAAAGTTAAAATATATACATGTGGAAATACAAATGTACAGTAAGAAAATATAAAGCAGGATATTATATATACATTAATTGTACAACGAATGGATTATTAAATATGAAATGTGGGACGAATAAAGCGATTCTGAAGTTTTTGGGATAATCTTTTTCCTCTTCCAGTTTAGTAATTGTACGGCTTTGTCTTTCAGGATGGCAAAGTGGTATTAGGAGGGCCCGGCAGCTACTTCTGGCAGGGTGCGTAGGACATACCAATAAAACCCACGTGGAAATCTGTCAAGCCTCAAAATGTCCTGCCAAGTTAAATTTGATGTCTCTGTATTTGTGGTATTTCTAGGTCAGGTGATCTCTGCAGCTAAAGAGGACATTATCAAAGCGTATTACCCTGGGTATTTCATGCAGTCTGTGGAGGGCCAGAAGCAGACCAGACAGGTGATGTCCGAGCACGACGACAGCTACCAAGGTGAGAGAGGCTCATTTAACCCTGTGATATCTGAGGTGTGGAGGGGGTGGGGGGGGCGAAGCCTGATTAGTGGTAGAAAGAGAACAAGCCTTCATTTTGAAAAAAGTTCTCAACTGTGAGAAAAAGTCTGAATTCTGAAAAAAAGTTGGAACATTTGAGAAAAAGTAAATTTTTGAGAAGATGTCAGAATTTTTAGAAAAAGTCAAATTTCGAGCAAAAGTCTGGATTCAGCGAAAAAAAGTCACATTTCTAAGAAAAATTCTGAATTTTGAGAAAGTGGGAATTTTAAGAAAACGTCAACATTTTGAGAAAAAGTCCACATTTTGAGAAAATGTCCACATTGAGAACATTTCCACATTTTGAGACGACGTCAACATTTGAGAAAAAGTGAAATTTTTAGCAAAAGTCTGGATTCAGCGGAAAAAAGTCAAATTTCTAAGAAAAATTCTGAATTTTGATAAAGGGGGAATTTTAAGAAAACGTCAACATTTTGAGAAAAAGTCCACATTTTGAGAAGATCTCAGCATTTTGAGAAAAAGGCAAATTTTGAGCAAAAGTCTGGATTCAGCGAAAAAAGTCAGAATCCTGAAAATAAGTCACATTTCTAAGAAAAAGTCTGAATTTTGAGAAAGTGGGAATTTTAAGAAAAAGTCAGAATTTTGAAGAAAAAGTCGGAATTTTGAGAACATTTCCACATTTTGAGAAAAAGTCAAATTCTGAGAAAAAACTAAGAATTCTGGGGGAAACAATTATTTGGCAATACCATGACTTTATATTTAATCTATGAGCGTTACATATTCTCAGCTCTTCCTATCAGAGCCAGCTAAATCAAGGAAACCCTGGCTCTGTTGAACTCTCTTCGTGTTAACCCCCCCCGCACATATCTGTATTTACATAGCCTCATGTCTGTCCTCTGGTCCACAGGCTACTCTATCGCTGTTGGGGAATTCAGCGGTGATCAGGTGGAAGGTAAGCCAATGAAATGAAATTGGGTATGCACGCTCACAGCCAAAGTTATATGAAGCGTATAGGAATAAAAACGTAAAAACTGCTGGCACATAGAAAGAAAATACTCCAGCTGACGTGAACATAAAGTAGAATATTTTACACAATCTTCGAGCTCCAGGTGGTGTTTTGTCTCCTAAATCTTTGCTTCATCTCTCTCAGATTTCGTGGCCGGCGTTCCAAAAGGACTCAAGCTTTATGGATTGGTAAGAAAGATGAATCATCGATCAATAAAGAGAAAGAAGACAGCCCCCCGTGTTCACAGTTAGACTTATTATCGCCGTGAATTCCTAAACCACAGACGGTGTTTATATAATAGCCTGTTAAAAAAAAGACCATATGTGGCTTCTGTGTTGCAGGTGTCGATTCTGAACGGTACCGATCTGAAGACCATCATGAACTTCACAGGCGAACAGGTGAGTCGCTCCTATCAGAAATAAAGACTCCTTCACATCTCATATCGTAGACTAACTCAACAAAGCCGTGTATTTTAAGCACACTGAATATAGTGTTGTTTTCGTGGCTCGAATCCTGCTCAGGGCTCTTCCTTTACAGCAGGGGTGTCAAACTCAAGGCCCGGGGGCCAAAACCGGCCCGCGACTTCATTTTATGTGGCTCCGCAAGAGCTTGCAAAGAATATAATACGTTTATTATACGGTTACATGCCACTTTACAGAAGCACGTTGCCCATAAACTACATATCCCACAATGCATCTCGTTTTGTGACATGCACACTGAAGAGACTTGCAATTATTTGCCCTGGACTTCTGCTTTCAGACGTAGTTAATTACTAAGTTATTATCCTATCCGATAATAATCCAATTCAGAGGCAATCATGTAATACATTATTTTATCTATATATTATATATTTATATATGTTTATATAGTTACAACCGGCCCTTTGAGTGCAACCTTTATACGAATGTGGCCCGCGATGAAATTGAGTTTGACACCCCTGCTGTTTCGTGGTTTGCAGTACATCTCAGTTATTCGGGGGGAAAGTGAAGTGGCAATTTGTGCAAATGGTTCTGGGAATAGAAAGGGCTCCGAGCTCATTTAAACAGTGATGATTGACTCGGCTGAATACATATAATCACGAGTGAATTTGCAATTCAGACTGCCCCGACAATCAGTGTGCTTTTTAAACTCAAGGTTCATAGACAGAGAAACTCCGAAGATTAAACTGACCTGGAACAGAAAAGGCTGCGAGCTGTAAAATCCATCAGGCTTTCATGTTTCGTTCACTACAGCTTTCTTTTTCTAGTAACACAGAAATCAAGATTGTAGTAGCATGATTGTTTTGTGTTATCTTATGCCAGGAGAATCAGGGGGATTATACCCTTCTGAATATCGTCGGCATAGCTATGATTTATTATGGTTTTAAAGATTATCTAGCCAGATATTCCTGCTGTGTACGGTATATTAAAGAGGCCGTATCCTGCTGATGTTCAGGTGTGTATCAGTATGTAGTGTCTCTACTTTAAAGAGTCCTCTCCTGCTGATGTTCAGGTGTATATCAGTATGTAGTGTCTCTACTTTAAAGAGTCCTCTCCTGCTGATGTTCAGGTGTATATCAGTATGTAGTGTCTCTACTTTAAAGAGTCCTCTCCTGCTGATGTTCAGGTGTATATCAGTATGTAGTGTCTCTACTTTAAAGAGTCCTCTCCTGCTGATGTTCAGGTGTATATCAGTATGTAGTGTCTCTACTTTAAGAGTCCTCTCCTGCTGATGCTCAGGTGTATATCAGTATGTAGTGTCTCTACTTTAAAGAGTCCTCTCCTGCTGATGTTCAGGTGTATATCAGTATGTAGTGTCTCTACTTTAAAGAGTCCTCTCCTGCTGATGTTCATGGTGTATATCAGTATGTAGTGTCTCTACTTTAAAGAGTCCTCTCCTGCTGATGTTCAGGTGTATATCAGTATGGAGTGTCTCTACTTTAAAGAGTCCTCTCCTGCTGATGTTCAGGTGTATATCAGTATGTAGTGTCTCTACTTTAAAGAGTCCTCTCCTGCTGATGTTCAGGTGTATATCAGTATGTAGTGTCTCTACTTTAAAGAGTCCTCTCCTGCTGATGTTCAGGTGTATATCAGTATGTAGTGTCTCTACTTTAAAGAGTCCTCTCCTGCTGATGTTCAGGTGTATATCAGTATGTAGTGTCTCTACTTTAAAGAGTCCTCTCCTGCTGATGTTCAGGTGTGTATCAGTATGTAGTGTCTCTACTTTAAAGAGTCCTCTCCTGCTGATGTCCAGGTGTATATCAGTATGTAGTGTCTCTACTTTAAAGAGTCCTCTCCTGCTACATAGTGACTAGTGGGAACACAGGGATGTTAGCCTTTGCAGACCACTTACATGCACAAAAACCTATATAACACACTACAGGAGAGGGAATACCCTTAAAAGCAGAATAGGGCCCCTTTAGATTTTCATTCATTAAAGTTGTGGATTTCCTTTTTCTTCACAGATTGGATCATATTTTGGGTACACAGTGGCAACGACGGATCTCAACAGTGATGGGTGAGTCGTCTGTTTTCTCTTTACTCTCAGATAATTATCCAGCGGTGTCTAGATTGGACGCCACCAACATCTCATTACAGGCGTCGATGTGTATGAATGAGTTTGTGTTAGAAAAATATCACTCGCCACAGGCTTGAGCTTCAATCTCAGGATCCATGTATCTGTGATCCTCTCCAGAATGGAAGTAGTCATCACATACAGAGCATCAACTAGTTCCTGAGCAGTGTCCTTCACATGCTGATATCCAAGAGAGGGAGTTACACAGTCACAAGATGGAGGAATAGAAAGCAGTATTCAATGTTTACTTCAGATTAGCTCCACGTCAGAAATGAGCATGCTTGATGTCTCTCTCCATAGAGGCTGAATCATCATGTTAATCACATAGCTATCATATGCCTCAAACAGTCCTGATGCTCTTCTAGGTAATCACACATCCTGTCATGTTCACAGCTACAGTTGGGATACCTTTGTTAACAGTTTGTGTGATTTCTCTTTAATGCAGTTTGACTGACCTGCTGGTTGGCGCTCCCATGTTCATGATGCGAGGGTCCGATGGTCGTCTGGAGGAAATGGGCCGGGTCTATGTTTACCTGCAGAGAGACCCCCTGCAGAGAGACGCCCAGCAGCTGGAGCTCCTCCTCCCTCACCTGACCGGATCCCAGGTGATGGGGAGGTTCGGCAGCACCATCGCACCTTTGGGAGATCTGAACCAGGACGGCTTCAATGGTAAGAATTTAAGTGAAATTAGTAAGCAGCATATGTTGTTCTTGCTTTGTTCTTACCTGCAGAAAAAAGGACATTTAGATGGTGCACACAGGACTTGTACCCAGTTGGAGTGAAGTTATAAATAAGTGAACAGAGGCAGGGAAAGAAATCTGGTCAAATGAAATGTATTCTGTGGGGAATTTGGGTTTTTGTCACAGTTTTCCCATTTTAAATAAAATACAATAAAACTAATAATAATAATATTTACATACACGTAGGAAATTCACGTAAACATGTGCAATATAACACGCAATCAATTATAGAAAATGATTCACATAAACAGAAGAAATTGATGTAAAAAGGTTTATATCAACAAAAAAAGTAAGATTAAAAATGTCAAATAAAAAGTTAAAATGTCAAATAAAAAGTTAAAATGTCAAATAAGGATAAGTATAAAATAGAATATAATTGTTTTTTAAATATTTATTGATTATTTTATTGTTCTTTCTTAAAGGTGGGGTATGTAATTTATTTCAGAAACACTTGTTATATTCCATGGAATGCTCTCAACAGCTTAAATAAATAAAAACATATCATCTGTGGAAGCCGTGGCGCTGTAAAAAGCTCGACCAATCATCTGAGCCGGCTAAAGTAACTGGATGGCCTACCTGCCTGTCAGCCTTCCATCTGGGCACAAACTTACCTCGTGCCCTCATTGGTCATGTGCGCGTTCGTGTGTGTTGGAGGAGGGGCTCTGTGAGGAAGTGGCAGATTTTTTCCGGTTGTGTATTTTCAAATTCGAGCGCACTCGAGCTGGTTTCTCCAAAATTACCTACCCCACCTTTAAACAGTAATATACCGTTTTTTATATGTCTGCTGCTGGAAATACAAAAGGTAAATTAATGTATTTGTCAAAAAAGAAAACTCAGGGGGGCTCGGCTTTTAAAAACATTAAAACCCAAAAATATCACATTATCTAGATTCTAGCCTACCTGTTTTTTTCGAGCAGCTAAAAACCCTCAAAAAGAAGTTCCCAGATTCAAAAAGCTCTAAAACGAATGCTCAGTCTCATACTGAATATCCTTTCTAATATCTTTCGTCACTTTGTCCTCTTGCAGACGTGGCCATCAGCTGTCCGTTTGGCGGGGAGGACCAGCAGGGTTTGGTCTACATCTTTAACGGTTTCTCCGAGGGTCTGAAGGAGAAACCCTCTCAGGTGATCTCGGGTCAGTGGGCTGCAGGATCGGTTCCTGCCAGCTTCGGGTTCTCCCTCCGAGGAAATAAAGACCTGGACATGAACGGATACCCAGGTGAGGAAGACTTCTCCCGTTATGCACGACCAACATTACATTTGTATTATGTTTCCTAACTCTCTTAATTGACTTCCTCAGATCTCATTGTCGGTGCCTTTGGTGTCAATAAGGCGGTTCTCTACAGGTATGATCGTTTGAAACATATACAGTGTTGTATAAAGATATTCTGGTATTGATCATAATAATAGCTATATTCTTTGTTTATAGTTCATCTGCTTTTCACTTTCAGGAAATGTAACTTTTACACTTTTATAGAATCTCTCCACCTTCACCTCCAGACTTTTCCTTTAAAAAAGTCTAAGTCATTTTTGATGATAGGTTCTTTAATCTACACATAGTTAATGACACATTTGACTGATTATCTTTCAAATCTTGTACAGTTATTACAATAAGATCATGCTTATTCAGGCTGTGATAATAGTGTAATGAAAACCTGATATCATGTCGGACATTAAAGGTCCCATGTCATGCTTTTCTGGTTATCACCCGTCCCCTTGTTGTTATGAAGGTTTTTCTTCATGTAAACGGTCTGCATGTCACAAACCCTCAAAGTACACCCTGTAGCGAGTAAAACTCTAACACAGAGAAGACCTGTCTGTGCTGCCCCAGAACGCCTCGTTGGGCATTTCTTTTTTTCTTCCATGGGTACAGTGACGTGTCCATACGTTACGTCCACGGAGCCGTTACCATTTCCTCACACACACACACACGCACACACACACACACACACACACACACACACACACACACACACACACCACACACACACACACACACACACACACTCGATCTTTTCTCAGCTACAGCTCCGCCGATTTCTCCTCCCTGAGACGGTGGGACGCGGCGAGGCTGTGAGTCGGTGTGTGAGCACACACACAAACTCCCAGCCAGGCTGCGGGTGTGTGTGTGTGTGTGTGTTCGGGCTGGGTTTTGCTCTTTCTCGCTGTCTCGCAGACGGCCACTGGGCTCACAGGGGGGGGGGGGGCAGGAGCTCCAACAAGGCGTGTAGGACAGAGAGTGAATACACATACTATACAGAGATGCTGTATGAGAAACCAATGTGAGTTTGGAACATTGAACAATGTAATTCTAGTAGACCTCAACAATGGAATTATGATCAGTAGAAATTGCCATGACCTGGGACCTTTAAATCATGCTGTCTGATTGTTTAGAGGAATAATTTGGAAATGTGCTTATTCACTTACTTGGCGACAATATCAATGAACGTCAACACTAAGCTAGTTAGCTTCGCTCTGAAGAAAGAGTGGAAACAGCTTTCATGATTCTGTAAAAAGACAACAAAAAAACACTGCATGTGTAAAAGTAAAGTTTAAAAAGTTGTTATAAAGAAACACTTTTTTTAGTTTTGAAAGACCCATGCTAGCAGTTTTCCTCTGTTTTCATTCATTATGCTAAGCTAACTGTCGTATTTATAGACACCGTATCGCTTGGCAGGCGTTTAGTTGTCTAAACGTCAAGCTTTTTCTTCTCATGTCTAATGTAATTTTTGAATATAGGGTCTTTCATTTACTTCCTTTCTGTTTAGATCCCGCCCCATCGTGAACACCAGCGCCTCTCTGACCGTTTCCCCCACCATGATCAACCCGGAGGAGAAGAACTGCATCGTCACGAGTGGAAACAGCAGCGTTCCCGTTTCCTGGTGAGATTCCAGCTCTCAGCTTCCTGTGACTCTGCTTCACTTCTGCTGCTGTTTGTTTGACCCAAAACACGGGCTTCCCCCTCTTCCTTCACATAAACAGTGACAGGAAGTCCTGATGAGAAATAACCTTCTCATCAGCAGTCACGATATTAATTTCTACCGGGCTCTTATCTGACCTACTTTCTAAATGTCTGCAGTGTGCGCAGCAGCAGGAATCACACGCTGAATAGCAGCATTGTTGGCACTTTTTCTCTTTGTGCGCAGAAAAGGAAACAGACGAGGGTTGCTCGCAGCTTGACATGGCGACCCCCCCCCCCCCCCTCCATTTTCCAGATCCTGATCCATAAAGGAAACTCTTGTATACACATGTGTCTTGATTACACTACGTTGCCTGGTGATGAGGAGTTTTTTTGTGGGGGTGAAAGGAGAGCACAGGGGGATAATGGACGGGGAGGGGTTTCTCTCTGCTGTTGCTTTGAATGAGATATTGTTTGGTGGGGGGAACACAGCTGGGAAACATCAGGACACGTAGACTCAGAAACAGGAGCTTACACATGAACTCATTACTCCTCCAGAGAAGGCCTTGTGCTCTCTCTTTATGTCTCATTTTTCACCTTTCCGGTGTTTTTCTTCTCACTTCGTCCTGTGTTTGCTCTGCGAATCTTGTGTGGGTTTAGTAGTAAGTGCATTAAGTACTTTTACTCAAGTACTCTGTTTATGAGGTTTCACTTTTAGGTACTTTACTGGAGTGTTTGCCTACTTTACTATACTTCTACTCCACAAACATATGGGAGCAAATATTGTACTTTTCACTCCACTACATTTATTTACAAGCTAAAGGTGGCTAATGTTGGTCTATAAAGGAACTACAGCACGGTCACATGACTTTACGTCACCACCGCTAAGCTAAAGGTGGCTAATGTTGGGCTGTAAAGGAACTACAGCACGGTCACATGACTTCACGTCACCACCGCTAAGCTAAAGGAGGCTAATGTTGGGCTATAAAGGAACTACAGCACGGTCACATGACTTCACGTCACCACCGCTAAGCTAAAGACGGCTAATGTTGGGCTATAAAGGAAATACAGCACGGTCACATGACTTCACCACCGCTAAGCTAAAGGCGGCTAATGTTGGGCTATAAAGGAACTTCAGCACAGTCACATGACTTCACGTCACCACCGCTAAGCTAAAGGTGGCTAATGTTGGTCTATAAAGGAACTACAGCACAGTCACATGACTTCACGTCACCACCGCTAAGCTAAAGGTGGCTAATGTTGGTCTATAAAGGAACTACAGCACGGTCACATGACTTCACGTCACCACCGCTAAGCTAGGTGTCTAATGTTGGGCGTGGTGACGTTTAGTCGTCTCGTTTAGACACTTGTCAGTAGATGCAGTTTTAAAATGTAACAGTGGAGGATTCGCAGGCGTATTTTATGTCGTAGAACAAAACGGTAAAATCTCTTCAGCTTGTGTTAACCACAGACCTTATTTCAGGCTTACAATCAAAAACACATTCAGAAAGCCATTGACTTACAGACCAGGGGACAGGCAGTGCTAAATGCTGACTCATTCCAGCTTTAGGACTCATTCCTGCACAACTCTCTACATATTATTCCAAAAATTGCCATTCTACATGATTAGTTATTTTACATACGGTACTATTTTGGTGCCAATACTTTACTAGAATGCCGGAGTTTTTCTTGTAATATTTGACACTACTTATACTTGAGTAAAGGGTCTTCTTCAATCTCTGGAGGATTGGGGGGGTTTTGTGTTTGCAGCTGATGTCATGGGAGAGCGATCTGAAGGCTTACTCAAACAGCTATCCACTGGTCAGCACTGAAACATGAGCCCCCCCCAATTTCACCCTTCTTAACTCTGCTATTCCTTTAGCGTAGAAACGGAGACGCTCCAATTTATCAGCTCCGGCTGGTGAAAGCGTGTCTCCGTTATTTGGCATTTTCTTCATTTTCTGCATTGTTTTCCCATTACGTCCCGTGCCTTGTAATGTAGGGGCCATGATAGGAAGTGGGGGAACGAGTGAGGGCAAGTGAGGTTTCCTGTGTGTGTTCAGTATTCTGAATCTCTGCCATGAGTGGATGTGCCTCTCTCATCATTTCCCTTCTGTCCAACACAGCGTCAACCTGAGTTTCTGCATATCTGCGGAGGGGAAGCACCTACCAGACGTTCTAGGTGAGCCAATTCTCCACATCTGCACTTACAGGCAAACAAGGAAACTGTCAACAAGCCAACAATAGTGGTGTTTTAAACCCACAACCTTATGTAGGGGTGCATGGTGCAAAATATATTGATCAAACCTCTTCTGTTCCCCTCGTTCTTACCTCTAATTACTCATATACAAGCGCCATTATATTAAACTTACATAGACTACATTGTGTTCTGCAGAATTTTTTTTTTTTTTTAAACCTGTCATTACGTGGCTCAAACACATTCATCACGCCATGAATGCTCATTTGTGCTGCAGATTTCCAGGTGGAAGTGCAGCTGGACAGCAATAAGCACAAGCAGAAAGGAGCCGTGAGGAGGGCTCTGTTCCTCGACTCCCAGCTGCCTTCGCTACAGAGGAGTGTGAGGGTGCGACATGGCGAGCGTGTGTGCAACAACACCAAGATCTACCTGAGAGTAAGCATTCATTCTTTCCAATAAAATAACTGTCTATGACTTATTATATCCTGTGCAAGCGTTATATATACTGGCAGAGGTGGGAAGTAGTGGAGTACAAATACTTTGTTTCTGGTATCAGTACTTTACTCCACTACTTATTTTTCTGACGACTTTTTACTTTGACTTCTTAAATTTTGAACACAAATACCTGTACTTTCTACTTCTTACATGTTGAACCCAAATACCTGTACTTTCTACTTCTTACATGTTGAACTCAAATACCTGTACTTTCTACTTCTTACATGTTGAACACAAATACCTGAACTTTCTACTTCTTACATGTTGAACACAATACCTGAACTTTCTACTTCTTACATGTTGAACACAAATACCTGTACTTTCTACTTCTTACATGTTGAACACAAATACCTGAACTTTCTACTTCTTACATGTTGAACACAAATACCTGTACTTTCTACTTCTTACATGTTGAACCCAAATACCTGTACTCTCTACTTCTCACATGTTGAACACAAATACCTGTACTTTCTACTTCTTACATGTTGAACACAAATACCTGTACTTTCTACTTCTTACATGTTGAACACAAATACCTGTACTTTCTACTTCTTACATGTTGAACCCAAATACCTGTACTTTCTACTTCTTACATGTTGAACTCAAATACCTGTACTTTCTACTTCTTACATGTTGAACACAAATACCTGAACTTTCTACTTCTTACATGTTGAACACAAATACCTGTACTTTCTACTTCTTACATGTTGAACACAAATACCTGTACTTTCTACTTCTTACATGTTGAACACAAATACCTGTACTTTCTACTTCTTACATGTTGAACACAAATACCTGTACTTTCTACTTCTTACATGTTGAACCCAATACCTGTACTTTCTACTTCTTACATGTTGAACACAAATACCTGAACTTTCTACTTCTTACACTTTGAACACAAATACCTGTACTTTCTACTTCTTACATGTTGAACCCAAATACCTGTACTTTCTACTTCTTACATGTTGAACACAAATACCTGAACTTTCTACTTCTTACACTTTGAACACAAATACCTGTACCTTCTACTTCTTACATGTTGAACTCAAATATCTGTACTTTCTACTTCTTACATGTTGAACACAAATACCTGAACTTTCTACTTCTCACATTGTTAGAGCCATTTTTCCTTTTGTTATTATTGTCTGAATGTTAGGCTTAATAATAATATAAATTAGATTATACTGTAAATTATCGGCAATTTTTGTGAGTCACATTATGGTTTAAAATGCATTAATTTAAGGCTCACTTATTATTTGTGATATGTGCGTCAGTATCACGTGCATGGCTATGCCTATATATGGTAGATTGATAGGACACAGCTGGGGGTGATAGACGGGGAAACGGAAAAGTCTTTTGAACGTGTTCTTTTTGTTACTTTGGAAAATGATACACTTTTGAGTTACTACGAAGCGAAGAAATGTGTCCTCCTGTATGTACCGTGTGGATCAGTGAATAACGCTCATCTGATTCAACTACGATCTCCGCTGAATTGTTTGGAAACATAGAGAGGCGCGTCAAAACCCACAACCCCGATAGAGGTGGCTATTAAATTGCAGACAAGGATCAAGACGCCACCACATTAGTCAAAAGACTCCGTAAGCTGTGGATAAAGACTTCGAAGGACAAGCACAGGATTCGTGTGGATTTCAGCTCTGCTTTGGAAACAGCGAACGGACGTTCTAAAGTGCCGAGGAGGAGGCCGTGAGTAAACCATGCCGGCCCGGAACTTATGAATGAAACGCCGTTTACAACGGGATCGCTTCGTCAAACAATGCAAGTACTGATGTGTGCATAGTTACGGATGTTTGACAAAACGAAACGGGAAATCCATCCAGTGATATCCTGATGCTTACTGAAGATAATCCGCAATTGCTGTTGAAATGCTTAAACAATGAAATGCATTAACGAACTATCACGCAGTTAAGGAAGCGGACGTTAAAGGAATGTTTGGCACAAAAACAGGATTTGCGAAGAGCTGTTCTTGGAAATATTAATGACTTTATTTCATGTGGATTAAGTGAAGAAAAAATAAAACAAACAATGGATCCTGATAAACCTCCAGCTGATGTTGCCGCGGCAGAGGAGAGCCAATCGCGAAGAGGAAACTTGGAGCATGCACCCGCAGAATGAATGAAATTAACCCATTACTGGTGCGAGGTGGAAATATGGAAAAGGTGGATGAAGCTGTTGCAACGTTCAAGATGTTACTCAATGAATTTATGGAATGTCATGGAATTGTTCAAATGCTTTTATCTGAGGAAATAAGGGAAACTGAGAGAATAGATTGGTATGAACCAAAAATGTCTGCATTCACGAATTTCCTTAAGGATGTGGAAACGTGGAAAAGCTCTCAAATGGATCCTCAGATACGGATTGAACCCCATGACAGTGTTTCCAATGCATCAACCAGGAGGAGCTCAAAAGCAGGATCAGCAACTTCTTCTGCTTCCTCAATCCACCTCAAAATGGCCACAGAAAGAGCTGCCCTCCTTGCCCGGGCAGCAGGATTAAAAGAAAAGCATGCTCTTGAAATGGAAAAGGCTCAACTGCAAGCTCAACTGCAAGCTAGATCCGAACGGATAGAAATGGAAGTCAGCCTAGCTGAATCTGATGCAAAAATGAAAGTACTGGAGCACTTTGAGACTGGTTCACAAAATCCAACACAAGGAAAATATGATGGCATGAATGACTATTTAAAGGACTACAGATTAAAAACACATATGTCAATGGAAGCAGAGCCGTCTCCAATTTCCTTTGCTGAGTTCGGAGCCATTCCCATGACACCACTTCAAAGGCTTCTACACCAACAACCAAGACCACCAGAAAATATTGATAATGCAAACCAAAGCTCTCAAAACACAGCTAGAGATGCAGGAATTACAGGGACAAATACTAATGACAATTTCCTGACTGTGATGTAAAGACAAAATGACATTGTTAATTGACTTGTACTTCAACAAAAACAAGCATCACTGCCCACTAGGGAAATCCCAGTCTTTGATGGCAATCCCCTGAATTATCAAATATTTGTGAGGGCATTTCAACATGGCATTGAGGAGAAAACCACCAGTAACCAGGATCGATTATATTACCTGGAACAATATACTTCGGGATCCTGCAGGGAACTGGTGAGAAGCTGCCTTCAACATGGATGCTAATAGTGGCTTTGCTGAAGCTAAGAGACGGCTAAAAGTGCATTTTGGAGATGAGCTCAAGATAGCAAGCGCATATATGGGAAAAGCTCTCAACTGGAACACTATAAAGGCAGAGGATGGAAAGTCACTGCACTGTTATGCACTTTTTCTGAGAGGCTGCTGTAATGCAATGAGGGATCTGCAGGACATGGAGGAGCTGGACCTGCCATCCAACCTACGGCTCATTCTTTCAAAGCTACCTTACAAACTAAGGGAGTAGTGGAGAACACAAGCTTGTTATATTCTGGAGCGGAGCCATCAAAGAGCAAGATTACATGACCTTGTTGTATTTATTGAAAGACAAGCTAGAATACTTCAAGACCCTCTCTTTGGTGACATTCCCGATCAACTTAACAGTACAAAGGCGGCTTTCAAGACCAAGACTCTTGTTGATTCATATCGAAATAAGAGCAAAGGGAGCAGTTTTGCAACCACAGTGGCTATAGTGTCAGACAGCCGTGCAGAGAAACTCAAAGAAGACAAATATCCTGTTAAAAGCTACATTTCCTCCACTAACAATGACACCTCATGTACCTTTTGTACAAGTAAACATCCTTTAGCTGAATGCCATAAAATACATTCAATATCTCATGAAGCTAAAATTGAGTTTCTGAAAGAGAAGGGACTATGCTTTGGCTGCCTGAAGGTGGGGCACTTGAGCAGGAACTGTAACAGGAGAATGACCTGTCAAATCTGTCATGCTAAGCACCCAACTATTCTGCACATTAAAAGATCTTCAAAGCCTGAAACTGAGAACTTTAAACATGATAAGGCAGAGCAGCAGAGTGGGGGAGCAAGGCCTGATGAGACATCCATCAGCAGTGCTCTTGTTTCAGTAGGAGAAAGTGAAGGAATCGGGGCTGGTAAAGACAGCATACTTGCCATAGTGCCAGTGAAGGTGAAACTCTGCCATGGAAATAAAAGCATACTGACCTATGCATTCCTGGACCCTGGTAGTACCGACACATTTTGCACAGAAGGGCTCCTGAGGCAGCTTGGTGCTAGAGGACGGAGAACTGAAGCCCTTCTTCAAACGATGGGAACAGAGAAAACAGTCAGGAGTTTTGAGGTAACAGGTCTAGAAGTGGGACATATGGAAGATGGCACATATATAAACTTGCCCAAGGTTTACACTCAGAACAAAATCCCTGTTACCAAAAGAAACATTCTCACCCAGGCGGACCTCAAGAAATAGCCTTATCTGCAGGACATCCAAATAAAAGAAATAGATGCTGACGTGGGACTTCTTATTGGAGTAAATACTCCAAAGGCTATGGAACCATGGAGAGTTATAAATAGCCAAGGAAACGGCCCATTGTTAATGGTCCACTTAATGCTTCCACAGATCTGGATGATGAAACCCCGTGGCATTAGTGAACAGGATCTCAATTGTTCACCTTGAGAAGCTAATTGAAAGACAATATATTAACGCCTTTCCAGAGAAAGAGTATGAAGAGGAAAGACAAATGTCAGCTGATGACCGAAAGTTCATGCAGATTGTATCAAGCTCGGTTTCTCTTAAAGATGGCCACTACAATTGACCTCTTCCTCTTGATAATCCAAACATTATCATTCCAAACAACCGCCAAATGGCAGAGCAACGAGCAATGTCACTAAAAAGGAAATTCCAGAAGGATCAGACGTATGCAGCTGAGTATAAAGGCTTTATGAGTGACATTATCAAAAAGGGATATGCAGAGAAAGTACCATCGGACGATCTACATGTGGAAACCGGCAAAGTGTGGTATATACCCCATCATGGTGTCTATCATAAACGTAAAAAAACGATTTGATTGTGCATCATCCTATAAAGGCAAATCCCTCAACAGTGTACTCCTTCAGGGCCCTGACTTGGCAAACTCATTGATTGGTGTTCTACTCAGGTTCCGTCAAGAGCCCATCGCCATTATGGCAGATATTGAGGGGATGTTTCACCAAGTGCGTGTAAACGAGGAGAACATAAACTTGCTGAGATTCCTGTGGTGGTCTGAAGGAGAAACCAGCACAAATCTGGAGAACTACCGGATGAGGGTCCATCTCTTCGGAGCTGTTTCCTCTCCAAGCTGCGCAAACTTTGCATTGCGAAGAACAGCTGAGGACAACTGTGGCAAATTTGATGGAGAAGTGGCAGAAACAATCAAATCAAATTTCTATGTGGATGATTGCCTCAAGTCGCTAGCAAGAGAAAATCAAGCTATAAGCCTTATTAGGTCTCTCAGAGAAATGTGTTCCCTTGGTGGATTCAAACTGACGAAATGGATAAGTAATAGTCGAGTGGTGCTAGCATCCATCCCTGATGAAGACAAGGCTAAACAGGTGAAAAACTTGGATCTGGACAGGGATAAGCTGCCACATGAAAGAGCACTAGGGATGTACTGGGACATTGAAAATGATATATTCAGTTTCTGTGTGACTGTGAACAACAAAACCCTTACAAGAAGGAGTATACTTTCCACTGTCAGCTCTGTGTACGATCCTCTTGGTCTTCTCGCCCCTTTCATATTGAAGGCAAAGCAAATACTTCGATTACTCTGTAAAGCCCAATATGGATGGGATGAAGAAATTCAAGTGGAACTCTCAAAGTCATGGCAGAAGTGGCTCAAGGATTTAGACTAGCTGGCTAGATTCCAAATTGACAGGTGTGTAAAACCTACGGTACCGCAAGTTACCTGAGATTCACCAATGACATGGAGGAGGTACACGTAGCCTTTGTGATGGGAAAATCAAGAGTTACCCCACTAAAAGTTATGACAATTCCAAGGTTGGAACTCACTGCTGCTACATTGGCTGCACGAATGGACAAAATGCTCCGATCAGAGCTACAAGGAGAGCTTCTGGAATCAGTATTGTGGACTGACAGCCAGTCAGTACTGAAATATATTCGAAACAGGACTAAGAGGTTCCACACTTTCGTGGTAAACCGTATTGCTGTTATTCATAACCTCACAAAAGTGAACCAGTGGCGGTTTGTAGACTCCAAAAACAACCCCGCTGATGACGCTTCAAGAGGACTGAGCATTGAATCCTTTTACAGTTCAAAAGGATGGCTTCAGGGTCCAGAATTCTTGAAGAAATCTGAAGCACCATGGCCAAGTATTCCAAAAGAACTTGGTTCTCTCCTTCCAGATGACCCTGAAGTACGCAAAGAAGCTATTGTCACCAGCATTGTCACATGTAAGATGGAAAAAACTCCAACAAGCAAGCTCTTGGACTATTACTCTTCGTGGAATGACCTAAGAAGAGCGGTTGCATGGATAATGAAATTAAAGACAATCCTCCTGCAGATGAGAGAAAAAAGAAAAGATGGCTCCACTGATCTTGGAGCAAGGCAGGATAAAGGAAAGAGACTGAAGGATCAGATGCTTCTGCTCAATATGCCTACAGCTAATGCACTAAGACTTTCAGTAGAGGACATAAAAAATGCTGAAAAAGCCATTATTTGCCACGAGCAGAGACAGCATTTCAAAGAGGAAATTGCCTTGCTGGAAAAAGGAAAACAGTGCAATAGAGGAAGCTCCCTATACAAGCTGGACCCTATCATTGATGCCGGGCTTCTGAGAGTTGGAGGAAGAACTAGAAAGATGGCTATGCCAACTGAGGTCAAACATCCAATGATTCTACCGAAACATTCAAAAATCTCCAAGTTGATATTAAGCCACATCCATAATCAAGTTGGTCACTCAGGAAGAGGTCACATGCTCTCCAAACTCCATCAACGTTACTGACTATCCGCTGCTAACTCTTCAGCAAGGAGGATCATAAAGAACTGTGTGTTTTGCAGACGCCTACAGGCTAGAGCTGGAGAGCAGAAAATGGCCGATCTCCCACTTGATCGAATAACACCTGATCTTCCACCTTTCACTCATGTAGGCATAGACTATTTTGGACCCATCGAGGTGAAACGTGGTTGAGCTCATGTCAAAAGATGGGGAGTAATCTTTACCTGCCTGGTAAGCCGTGCTGTCCACCTGGAAGTTGCCAGTCATTTGGATACAGCTGCATGCATAAACGCTCTTCGTCGATTCATCTGTCGTCGAGGCACAATAAAGAGCATCAGAACAGATCGAGGCACCAACTTCATCGGCACACAAAAGGAACTGGAGGAGTCTGTAAAACAACTGGATAACAACTAAATCAAGCAAACACTACTCAAAGAAGGAATTGATTGGACATTCAATCCCCCCTCTGGAGCTCACCATGGCGGAGTGTGGGAGAGGCTAATACGACTGGTTAAAAGGATCCTCCATTCTGTCCTGAAGGAACAAACATTGGATGATGATGCTCTGCACACAGCCTTGTGTGAGGTTGAGGCAATAATGAACGATAGGCCAATCACAACAGTGACAAACGACCCAAACGACCTTGAACCCCTCACACCTAATCACCTACTTCAGTTAAGAACAAATCCAATCTTGCCCCCAGGACTCTTTCAGAGAGAGGATCTGTACTCCCAGAGAAGATGGAAACAGGTGCAGTACCTTGCTGACCTGTTTTGGAAGCGCTGGACCAGGGAATATCTTCCTTTGATGCAAGAACGGCACAAATGGAATACTATCAAAAGAAACTTCACCCCCGGAGACCTGGTCGTCATCATTGATGAGAACGCACCGAGGAACACTTGGCTCCTGGGACGCGTAGTTAAGACCCTTCCTGGTTCAAAAGGACTTGTTAGGAGTGTCCTGGTTAAAACCAAGACAAGTACGATCAAAAGACCCATAACTAAGTTATGTCTGCTCCTGGAGGCGACAGACTGAGCCTACTAAGCCTTTCAGTCACGTGCACCTCTGACTGTTAGACCAAAGGACTAGACTCTTGGTCTCCTAACCCCTCCCCATCAAAGGCTGCCTTTTGAACGCAGACCATTACAGACAATTAGTACTAGACCTACACACTCCAGTACTGGTCTTACATGAACTTGAAAGTATACAATATACTATTGACTTAAGTGTACAAATATGCTACGGATGGACGTTATGTTTTGTTAAAATGACTCTGTTGATGTATTATTATTGGTAATTGCTATGTAATAAGCAATTAGGGGCTGGTATGTTGAACTCAAATACCTGTACTTTCTACTTCTTACATGTGAACTCAAATACCTGTACTTTCTACTTCTTACATGTTGAACTCAAATACCTGTACTTTCTACTTCTTACATGTTGAACACAAATACCTGTACTTTCTACTTCTTACATGTTGAACTCAAATACCTGTACTTTCTACTTCTTACATGTTGAACTCTAATACCTGTACTTTCTACTTCTTACATGTTGAACTCAAATACCTGTACTTTCTACTTCTTACATGTTGAACACAAATACCTGTACTTTCTACTTCTTACATGTTGAACACAAATACCTGTACTTTCTACTTCTCACATGTTGAACTCAAATACCTGTACTTTCTACTTCTCACATGTTGAACTCAAATACCTGTACTTTCTACTTCTTACATGTTGAACTCAAATACCTGTACTTTCTACTTCTTACATGTTGAACACAAATACCTGTACTTTCTACTTCTTACATGTTGAACTCTAATACCTGTACTTTCTACTTCTTACATGTTGAACACAAATACCTGTACTTTCTACTTCTCACATGTTGAACACAAATACCTGTACTTTCTACTTCTTACATGTTGAACTCAAATACCTGTACTTTCTACTTCTTACATGTTGAACTCAAATACCTGAACTTTCTACTTCTTACATGTTGAACACAAATACTTGTACTTTCTACTTCTCTCATTTTCCAAACAGCTGGTTCCTTTAGTCTGAATGTGTGTTTGATGCGTGATCATTATTCTTTAGAGTCATTGCGTGCCTATTGATTTGAACACGATCCGTGTATCCATCATTTCCTGGTCTTCTCTAAAGAAGAGGGACCAATGGAAACGTTGTCATGTTGCCGTTGTTCAGCATGGAAACATTCATTAGCTAACAATGACATTATTGTTCTATTAATATAAAGGGAGGTCAGGTACTCTTTAAAACATCTGCTAGTTATGGGTACTTTTTACTGAAGTACATTTCAAAGCCTCTTTACTTTTACTTGAGTAAAAAAGTTTAGTCAGTACTTCTACCGAAGTATTTTTAAACACAATTATCTGTACTTCTACTTGAGTAAAGGATGTGTGTACTTTTGCCATCTCTGTATACTGGTGATAAAAGCAGGTTGTTAGTTACGATCATGATGCAAGCTAAAATCCTGCAAAGATTTGAACGGATTGGGACTTTTTGTGATAAAAACCCTGATATTTGTTTTGTGTTTCAGGATGAGAAAGACTTCAGGGATAAACTCTCTTCCATTTACGTGGCCTTGAACTTCAGCTTGGATCCGAAAGCAGCGGCAGACTCCCACGGTCTGCGGCCCATCCTCAACTATCAGACCACCAACGTGATCGAGCAGAAGGTATTTTCATGTTCTCTACACTTCTTTAATCCTCTGTCCAACACAGGTAACCAACACCAGAGAGGAGGACTCGAGCCATGAATTACATGACTTCAGATTTGGCCCCTATCCTCTTGGATTTAGGCCTTTTGATTTGGGAATCATACTTGCCAACCTTGAGGCCTCAGAAATCGGGAGAATTTCAAAACCACCGCGGGTGGGGGGGGGGGGGGGGGGGGGGGGGTGGGGGTGGTGTGCTAGTGGATCGCCGGAGCTGTATTAGATTAACATGCTTATTGTAGTTGTAAGTGCACTGCCTTGCGGCCTGAAGCACCATCCTTGATGGAGCATATGTGTGGGCTGAAAAGGAGTGAGCAGAGGGTCGTGTTGTCGATTCTTGTTCTGTTTTCTGTGATATATCTTCCTCACCCTCTCAGACTTTCAGTTGCGCGCTACTAAAGAGACGTGCTACCATGGAAACAAAACAATGGTGTAGCTGTATTAAAGTCCGAGTGGAAACAGTCCTGAGTAAATCTGATTTTGTCAGAAATCGGGAGAAATATGACCCCGGGAGGAAACCGGGAGAGGGCAATGAAATCGGGAGGGTTGGCAAGTATGTTGGGAATACTTGACAACTTCTCCCAAGCCGAAATATATATGTGAATAAGGCAATACATTCCCAGCAAGTCGACTCTAAAATCTCCCAGATCAACTTGAATCAACAGCATCCAATCAAGTTGCAGGAAACCCATTTAAAAGGGTGTGCTTAGAAACATGTATTCCCTTTAATTTCCTTAAATTAAGAACAAACATTCCCACTAAACTCCCCACATCAAGTAACACAGGGTTCATCTTCGATTCGTGTCCCATTTGAACACAATACATCCGACCTCTGAACCTATCCCACACCTAAAGGCCTTCTAGCATCAATACATGTTGTAAAAATGTTCCCTATTATTGAAAAGATGTTTCTTGGATAGTTTAGTCTTCAAACCTTCATGTCCTGATAAAAGAGTATATCGAGTATGTGTGGAAAGCTGAGAATATGATGCAACATTGGAGTATTTCCATGTCTCTGCCCGGTTTAAAGATCCCCTATTATGCAAAATCCACTTCTTCATGTCTCTTCTACATCAACATGTGTCCCCTCTTCTTCATGTCTCTTCTACATCAACACGTGTCCCCTCTTCTTCATGTCTCTTCTACATCAACATGTGTCCCCTCTTCTTCATGTCTCTTCTACATCAACATGTGTCCCCTCTTCTTCATATCACTTCTACATCAACATGTGTCCCCTCTTCTTCATGTCTCTTCTACATCAACATGTGTCCCCTCTTCTTCATGTCTCTTCTACATCAACATGTGTCCCCTCTTCTTCATGTCTCTTCTTCATCAACATGTGTCCCCTCTTCTTCATGTCTCTTCTACATCAACATGTGTCCCCTCTTCTTCATGTCTCTTCTACATCAACATGTGTCCCCTCTTCTTCATGTCTCTTCTACATCAACATGTGTCCCCTCTTCTCCATGTCTCTTCTACATCAACATGTGTCCCCTCTTCTTCATGTCTCTTCTTCATCAACATGTGTCCCCTCTTCTTCATGTCTCTTCTACATCAACATGTGTCCCCTCTTCTTCATGTCTCTTCTTCATCAACATGTGTCCCCTCTTCTTCATGTCTCTTCTACATCAACATGTGTCCCCTCTTCTTCATGTCTCTTCTACATCAACATGTGTCCCCTCTGTGGAAAGAGACTCTGAAAGTTTCAGGAACAAAGATTCTCTCTCTTTTTGATCCATTTCTATAAAAACCTGTCTGAAAATGAGCTGATCAGATTTTGGCCACTTTATGATGTCATGTGTTGTCTTGTGTAACCATTAGCCAATCACCAACAAGGTAACCCCCCCCCCCCACCTTATCACCTGAATCTCCTCCTAGAGCACCATTGAGTTCTTTGTAACCAAATCTCTCTCAGAGGGGCGTGGGGAGGGGCTCCTTATTTTCATCTAAAGTAACAGACAGAGAATCAGCACTTTGGAAACAGGGCTGAAACAGAGGGGATTATGGGTAATGCTGCTGATCTGTTTGGTGTTTCAGCCAATCAGAGACAGGTTCTGGATATATCTGAGACCTGTGATACAGTGATGAAAAACAGTATGATAGGGGACCTTCAACAGTACTTGTTCCAGTGTGCAGATATTTCAGGATGGGGCACCAGCAGGCGTTTAGTCCATCTGGTTGAAATCTGCCAGTTTTTCTGAGAGCTACCTCAACATGTGGGCAAACTTCCAGCTGTGGCAGCGCGCACCATATGTTCAGCTTTTGGGAAACGGCAATCAGCGTTAGTCTTTAAACCCCCCCTTTTCTCTTTCTCTATCGTGGTTTTTTTCTATCTTGTTGGATCAGGACTGCGCGCTTTCATTGATGCCCTTGAAAAAGCTGCTCCAACAGATGTGGTTGAACGCTGACCTTGAGACGAGTTCAAAATGATCCTGAAAAAAATCTCCCTGCCAATCTGGATCTGTGTTTATGTGTTTTTAGCAGGGGAGACGTATCAGCCTGCCAACATATTTCCTTAATCTCTGCTTGCACTGTGTTAATGTAACAGCGTATAAACAGTGAAGGGTGACTATGATCCACAGCCTTGATCACACACTCGATGCCCGTTTGATTTCCACATGTGCGCCGTAACGCTTCACCAACTCTGCCAAGTTCCTATTCTCTCTTCTAGCTGCGAGAGTGAGAATGAGAGACGGTTGATGTGTTACGACCTCTCTGTCAGCTTAACATCTTCCACATGTTTCAGTTGGGAAGCTAAGGCGTTGCGATGAATCTATTAATTACTATCATTCTCAGATCTCGAACGCAGAGAAAACAGAAAGGATCAGAGCTGTTGTCACCTCTTAAGAACTTGGACACGACTGGAATTCAGAATCAATGGCCTCTTTGTTCTTAATAATAACATCTGGGTGGAAATGTTAAATGGATGCACAATAAATTAGACAAAACCAAATGTTTTTCGTTAATAAGCGCAGCGTCTACACACTGACTAGACAGCCGAACATGGTATTGCTGATCTGGACATTTTTCAAGGCCCGATTTTCTAACGCTGTGCATGCAGTGGGCGTTGGACTGGAAGTACTGGTTTACGGTTTTGAAAACTTCTGTCACGTAGTGATCATCTTCTCAAAAAAACATCTTTGCTAATGTTTTTTCGAGTCTTCTGGCCAATCAGAATCAAGATTGTTGCCACGGAGATTAACTTTGCGGTCGAACTATTCTTTATACATCCATGGGTACAACTTCAGATCGAAATGAACACATAATGAAATATGACCCCCGGTTTGATGACTGACAGGTCACAGAACAATGGGGGCTATCTACCCTCACCCACAATTTAAAGTAATTCACACAGCCTCTCTCCTCTTTGCTCTTCTCTCTCTGTGAGGAGCAGCAAGCTGTCAGAACAAAGTGAAAAACAAACAATGGCATACAATATTATGAATATGTCGGGTAGCAATAGACTTAGTTATTTTCTTCTCAGAGTACCAGAATGCGTCGTTAGTGTTTCTAAAAATCTCCCGGGGTTTGGGTTTTCAGCATGTGTGCCTTTCTATGTCATATAGTTCAGCTTTGATTCCATCATCTCATTAAACCTTTTTTTAAAGCATACTTTAGTTCTGTGAAGGGATATAAGGGATGCTCTGTACTTCACTTTAATCAATATTGTATGCTGAAAAGCGTATATATATTACAACACAATTTTTTGTTGAATAGATTTGAGTGGTTCAACGTTTCGGGTCGCGATTTATTGACAAAGGAAAAAAGGGGGTCCTGAGGCCTGACCAGTTGAGAACCACTACTCTAAAGTATACGAAGAAGAAAAGTCTCGGAGGAAGACTCATGTACTTTACTATAAAATAAAATAATAAAAATAGTGTTTTTGTTGTAAACGATAGCGCTGTCAGTTAGATTTCGTTTGTATTAAAGTATCACCAGTGTTTACTACATCTGACCCTCAGGTGTGCATAAACTCCAGCTTAGAAACTTGTTTTTTAAATCCCAAAAAGTGAAATCATCAGTTAAATCCATGTGGTGCATCCACTCAGGACTCCGCTCAGATTGCCAGGTTGTGATTTCCTCTTTCTGTCACTCTCTGAGGTCACAGTTGTTGAGTTTCAGCATCGAGGGGCGTACGGTCGTCAGATAAACAGATCCCTCGTGCACATGTGGCCGAGTTAACATGGCGGTTGCTACGGTGTCCATAATTAGAGCCCCTGCATGGTGTAATGACAAGGGGGGGCGCTTCCACTCCCTCTAATCTCCTCCTACATTTCTATTTATTATCCTCTTCGTCAGGGAGCATCATCACACTGCTTGTAATCTGCCTCAGAGAGGTATCTCATGTCTCAGGGAAGCCCCGCCCTCTCCATATGATGATGTGGTCGCAGGGTGGCGCAGTGTGTGGTGAAAACGTGGTTCACCTCAGGCTGCTGTGATGTGGTGGGAAGTAACAAAGTACATTTTGTTTTACTCGAGTACAACGAAATGCACTTTGCATCCAACAAGAAAGTGCATGAGGTTTCTGTAAAGATTCAAAGGTTTTAATGTCATATGCACATAAGCTACAGTGTAGGAGTGAAAATGAAATTCTTCTGACCTGAGCTCCTCCAACAACGCAACATATATAATAAAATACAAAATAAAAAGTAGTGCAAAAAGTCTATATACATGTAAATAGAATATGATATGTACAAGAACAGAATACACAATTAAATAATTCAAATTAAGACAAAATTAAATACGATTTAACTATTTATATAATTAAGTATATTGCAAGATGACATGGCTTTGGCTTTCTATTTTTGAATGGCCATGCTTTTATTTTGAAGGAGAGTTAGTACAGTTGACAGGAAGTTGTTGTTGTTGCTATGGAAACAACGTGACGGAGATTAATGGAGAAAAGGTCATACATATAAAGACGGAGAAAGTAAACGATAACGTTTATGGTTAAGTGTTGGCACCCCCCGAAGAGGCACAAGCTCTTACGTTGATATTGGAGATTTCAATAAATTAGAGGGAAAAAAAACGAATATCCGAATAACGAAATTGAAACGAATATTTGGATATTCGGGTACTGTATTGTTACTTTTACCTCTGATCATAATCCAGTAATTTCATACATTTAGGCGTAAAGAGTACTCTTACTTTTGGAACTGTAAGTAGAACTTTATGCCAATACTTTTGGACTTTTACTTCAGTAAAAAAATTCCGCCCAGCGTTTCCTTCTCCTTGAAACAGAAAGCATATGTTCACAGTGACCTCACACTCTGAGCCACAGCATGGTGTGTGTGTGTGTGTGTGATACCGCATGCTGCATCTTGCTGCAGTCTTCCTGTTGTCTCCCATAAACAGATCTGTAATGTATCTTGTGTGCCTAATTCTCTTCACGTGTAAAAGTGTGATCATCTCCCCGTTAAACTTTTTTTTGTGTCCCTCTTTGTGCATCTTGCAGGCTCAGATCCTGCTGGACTGTGGCGAGGACAACATCTGCGTCCCCGACCTGAAGCTGGCCGTTCAGGGGTGAGTGTTCATTTCCTTCATGGCCTGTATGAGACAATGCTCCCCTGGGCACGACACAAAATCACCTCTCTTACAAAGGAGGAAGAAGTGTTTCATAGTTGCTTGAAGATGTTTTGTGTCTATTTGAATGCGGGATGAAGGGTTGAAGAAATGGAGGGGTCAAGGGGATGTAGGGAGATAGGAGGAAAGGATACATGGATATAGGGATGATGTTAGGTAGGGGATGAATAGAATAAGGTATGTAGGAAAGAAGGGAGGAAGGAATGAATGGATATTGGGAGGAAAGGATGAAGGGTTAAAGGGATCAAGAAAGGGGGGGTGAAGGGTTAAGGGGATGTAAGTAGGAAGGGAAGAAGGGTCGTAGGAAGGGATGGATGAATTGATATAGAGATGTATGGAGGAAGGGAGGAAGGAGGGTTAAAGCAGGGGGGTCAAACTCAATTTAATCGCGGGCAACATCAGCATTATGGTTGCACTCAAAGGGCCGGTTGTAACTTTAAGACTATATAAAAATACATAGATAAATATATAATATATATGAAATAATGTATTATATTATATTATTGGCTCTGCATTGGATTATTATCAGTTCTGGTAATAACTTCATAAATAACTACGCCTGAAAGTAGAAGTCAAGGGCAAACCATTCAAAGCAAATATTCAACAATTACATCAAAACTTTTGAAAGAACATCCATAACATCTGTTTGCAACTTATATATATGTCAATATTCCAAATACTTGTATATACAGTAGACTATTCTGCACTATTTCTATTATATTTTATTTTATTCACTTGCACTATTATCTGTTTTATTGTGTTTATATGTTATTATTTTCATTATCATAACGACACTGTAGCTATGTACACATGACAATAAAAGCCTTGTATCTTGAATTGTATTGTATATTATATTCTTTGCAAGCTCTTGCGGGCCGGATGTGGCCCCCGGGCCTTTGAGTAGGGCTGCTCGATTATGGCAAAAATCATAATCTCGAATATTTGGGTCAATAATTGATATCACGATTATTAAAAACAATTATCCATTTACTTTGAAAACATGAATTTATTGAAAAAAAATGGTATGTTTTTAACAGTTGATTACCCTGAACTTTAAGTATAATTCAATTGAAGAACCAATACAAAAAATTATATATATATTTTTTTTTAAATAATCGTTTAATTTCAATTATGTTGTTTTCATAATTGTTGAAAGCCAAAATCGTAATTGCGATTAAAATACGATTAATTGAGCAGCCCTAGTAGGGAGGTATGGGGGCTCAAAAGGATGTAGGGAGGGAGGGAAGGGATGAAGGGTCAAAGGATACATGGATGAAGTGTTGAATGGATGTAGGGAAGGAGTTGTCTTTGAGTGACACTTTTTATTTGAAGAACGGGAGGCCCTCAACCTTTTTGAGCCCCTGTTCCCCCTGGGGGCCACTATTATTTATCCATCCATGGTGTTGTTATATAATCCTAGAAGTCCATGGTGAATGCATTCCAGGAAAAGTCCTGTGAACAGGGTCAGTAAACTCCTCGCCTTGGATTGAGGTCTAAAGTGTAAATACAGCTGTTTGTGTTGTTCCGCTGCTTTGTTTACGTTAGCATACCAGAGCGAGGCTGCTAATAGCTTCAGAGTCAGAGAACATCGCCCTCTGAAAACAGGAAGTAGCTCTACAGGTGCTTCGACAAGCATTAGGAGGAAATACAGGAGGGATGAAGGGAGTGTGTCGCTTCTGAAGCTGCCTAACTCACTTTCATTCAACAAATCTGTTAGCATTTTTCTCACAAAAAAACAGCCTCCCTGATACTCCCTCCGCTGCTCTGTCATTTTGATTTCACATTCCTATAGTTATCTACCATCTGCCTCCATTTGTTTAATGCATCACATGTGGAACAACCTGCTACGAGCTCCAGCCACTCCAGAAAGTGTGATTGGTGCAATTTGAAATAATAGTTTTTGTCTGCTCTGTTGTGGATTCGCAGTGAGAGCCGGGTTGTCGGGGGACGGCTGTGATTCAGAGGAATTTCAGATTGAAAACAAACCCCTGAAATGTTCTCTTGTTCTGCCAAAGCTCATAACCTGTTCCGCCGCCGGTCTCCCAGGGAAGCTTTAAGGTTTTCTGGTGTTTTCTAAATTTGAGCCTTTTGTTTGGTTTGAAAAGTGCAATGCAAGTTAGAATCAGACGTGGGTTGAGCTGCAGAAATCTTCTCCTGCGCAGCTTCACAGAGCGGCTGTAATTAAAAGCATCTGTTAGCGAAATGTTCTCATTGTTTCGAAGCTGTGGAGGGAGTGAGAAAAAGCAAAGGAAGAGTGGAGGTGTTTCACAGTCTTACACCGTGTTATTAAGCATGCATGACTTTATTACCATGTTGGCAGAGGTGCTAAGTACATTTCAAGTTTTGCACTTAAGTACAATGGGGGGGGGCCCTATTATGTTAATTGTCAGGTTATATCAGTATGTAGTGTCTCTACTTTAAAGAGTCCTCTCCTGCTGATGTTCAGGTGTATATCAGTATGTAGTGTCTCTACTTTAAAGAGTCCTCTCCTGCTGATGTTCAGGTGTATATCAGTATGTAGTGTCTCTACTTTAAAGAGTCCTCTCCTGCTGGTGTTCAGGTGTATATCAGTATGTAGTGTCTCTACTTTAAAGAGTCCTCTCCTGCTGATGTTCAGGTGTATATCAGTATGTAGTGTCTCTACTTTAAAGAGTCCTCTCCTGCTGATGTCCAGGTGTGTATCAGTATGTAGTGTCTCTACTTTAAAGAGTCCTCTCCTGCTGATGTCCAGGTGTGTATCAGTATGTAGTGTCTCTACTTTAAAGAGTCCTCTCCTGCTGATGTTCAGGTGTATATCAGTATGTAGTGTCTCTACTTTAAAGAGTCCTCTCCTGCTGATGTTCAGGTGTATATCAGTATGTAGTGTCTCTACTTTAAAGAGTCCTCTCCTGCTGATGTTCAGGTGTATATCAGTATGTAGTGTCTCTACTTTAAAGAGTCCTCTCCTGCTGATGTTCAGGTGTATATCAGTATGTAGTGTCTCTACTTTAAAGAGTCCTCTCCTGCTGATGTTCAGGTGTATATCAGTATGTAGTGTCTCTACTTTAAAGAGTCCTCTCCTGCTGATGTTCAGGTGTATATCAGTATGTAGTGTCCTCTACTTTAAAGAGTCCTCTCCTGCTGATGTTCAGGTGTATATCAGTATGTAATGTCTCTACTTTAAAGAGTCCTCTCCTGCTGATGTTCAGGTGTATATCAGTATGTAGTGTCTCTACTTTAAAGAGTCCTCTCCTGCTGATGTTCAGGTGTATATCAGTATGTAGTGTCTCTACTTTAAAGAGTCCTCTCCTGCTGATGTTCAGGTGTATATCAGTATGTAGTGTCTCTACTTTAAAGAGTCCTCTCCTGCTGATGTTCAGGTGTATCTCAGTATGTAGTGTCTCTACTTTAAAGAGTCCTCTCCTGCTGATGTTCAGGTGTATATCAGTATGTAGTGTCTCTACTTTAAAGAGTCCTCTCCTGCTGATGTTCAGGTGTATATCAGTATGTAGTGTTTCTACTTTAAAGAGTCCTCTCCTGCTGATGTTCAGGTGTATATCAGTATGTAGTGTCTCTACTTTAAAGAGTCCTCTCCTGCTGATGTTCAGGTGTATATCAGTATGTAGTGTCTCTACTTTAAAGAGTCCTCTCCTGCTGATGTTCAGGTGTATATCAGTATATAGTGTCTCTACTTTAAAGAGTCCTCTCCTGCTGATGTTCAGGTGTATATCAGTATGTAGTGTCTCTACTTTAAAGAGTCCTCTCCTGCTGATGTTCAGGTGTATATCAGTATGTAGTGTCTCTACTTTAAAGAGTCCTCTCCTGCTGATGTTCAGGTGTATATCAGTATGTAGTGTCTCTACTTTAAAGAGTCCTCTCCTGCTGATGTTCAGGTGTATATCAGTATGTAGTGTCTCTACTTTACTTATACTAGAGTAACATTTTGAATGAAGGACTTGAATATATTTTTTTAAACATTAGTAGGCCTATTGCTACTTTTATTTGCATGTTAAGAAAGTTGTCCATTAATAGCAAAGCATGAATTCTAATCGTCAAACACGAAGCTGGAAAATGTATTTACATTCCTGAGCCACTCTGACACCATGTTACCTGTTGACCTTATTAGTGTTAAACTTTTTTGTTCTGCGTCGTGTCCTCAGGAACAGGAAGGAAGTGTACCTGGGTGACGACAACTCGCTGACCTTGACTTTCAACGCCAGGAATGAGGGTGAGGGGGGTGCGTACGAGGCGGAGCTATACGTGGTGCTGCCCCCCGAGGCCGACTACAGCGGCATCGCCAGGAATAATGAGGTGAATATGAAATGATTATAGCCAGAGGTGGGAAGTAGTGGAGTATGAATACTTCGTTACTGTACTTAAGTACATGTTTCTGGTATCAGTACTTTACTCCACTACTTATTTTTCTGATGACTTTTTACTTAGACTTCTTACATTTCAAACCCAAATACCTGAACTTTCTACTTCTTACATGATGAACACAAATACCTGTACTTTCTACTTCTTACATGTTGAACACAAATACCTGTACTTTCTACTTCTTACATGTTGAACTCAAATACCTGTACTTTCTACTTCTCACATGTTGAACTCAAATACCTGTACTTTCTACTTCTTACATGTTGAACTCAAATACCTGAACTTTCTACTTCTTACATGTTGAACACAAATACCTGTACTTTCTACTTCTTACATGTTGAACACAAATACCTGTACTTTCTACTTCTTACATGTTGAACTCAAATACCTGTACTTTCTACTTCTTACATGTTGAACACAAATACCTGTACTTTCTACTTCTTACATGTTGAACCCAAATACCTGTACTTTCTACTTCTTACATGTTGAACACAAACACCTGTACTTTCTACTTCTCACATGTTGAACCCAAATACCTGTACTTTCTACTTCTCACATGTTGAACTCAAATACCTGTACTTTCTACTTCTTACATGTTGAACTCAAATACCTGTACTTTCTACTTCTTACATGTTGAACACTAATACCTGTACTTTCTACTTCTTACATGTTGAACTCAAATACCTGTACTTTCTACTTCTTACATGTTGAACTCAAATACCTGTACTTTCTACTTCTTACATGTTGAACTCAAATACCTGTACTTTCTACTTCTCACATGTTGAACTCAAATACCTGTACTTTCTACTTCTTACATGTTGAACTCAAATACCTGAACTTTCTACTTCTTACATGTTGAACACAAATACCTGTACTTTCTACTTCTTACATGTTGAACACAAATACCTGTACTTTCTACTTCTTACATGTTGAACTCAAATACCTGTACTTTCTACTTCTTACATGTTGAACACAAATACCTGTACTTTCTACTTCTTACATGTTGAACTCAAATACCTGTACTTTCTACTTCTTACATGTTGAACACAAATACCTGTACTTTCTACTTCTTACATGTTGAACCCAAATACCTGTACTTTCTACTTCTTACATGTTGAACACAAACACCTGTACTTTCTACTTCTCACATGTTGAACCCAAATACCTATACTTTCTACTTCTCACATGTTGAACTCAAATACCTGTACTTTCTACTTCTTACATGTTGAACTCAAATACCTGTACTTTCTACTTCTTACATGTTGAACACTAATACCTGTACTTTCTACTTCTTACATGTTGAACTCAAATACCTGTACTTTCTACTTCTCACATGTTGAACTCAAATACTTGTACTTTCTACTTCTTACATGTTGAACTCAAATACCTGTACTTTCTACTTCTTACATGTTGAACTCAAATACCTGTACTTTCTACTTCTCACATGTTGAACACAAATACCTGTACTTTCTACTTCTTACATGTTGAACTCAAATACCTGTACTTTCTACTTCTCACATGTTGAACTCAAATACCTGTACTTTCTACTTCTCTCATTTCCCAAACAGCTGGTTCCTTTAGTCTGAATGTGTGTTTGATGCGTGATCATTATTCTTTAGAGTCATTGCGTGCCTATTGATTTGAACACGATCCGTGTATCCATCATTTCCTGGTCTTCTCTAAAGAACAGGGACCAATGGAAACGTTGTCATGTTGCCGTTGTTCAGCATGGAAACATTCATTAGCTAACAATGACATTATTGTTCTATTAATATAAAGGGAGGTCAGGTACTCTTTAAAACAGCTGCTAGTTATGGGTACTTTTTACCACGAGTATCTGTACTTCTACTTGAGTAAAAGATCTGTGTACTTTTGCCATCTCTGGCCAGAGGAATGTTTCTTATTGATTGTCCTGAGCTGTGGTTTGACACCTCTGTTCTCTGGTTCCTCAGAGCCTGACCCAGCTGACCTGCAGCTATGAGACGGAGAACCAGACCCGGTACCTCAGCTGTGATCTGGGAAACCCCATGAAGTCTGGCACCAGTGTAAGGACACTTTGATTTTCTTTCAAATATTAGCATATTGAATCTATGCAGGGTAAACAATTACAACGGTCTGTTTGAAATATGTAGGTGTTACCATACACAACTGACAAAGGGGAACAACATACTTACAGGCCTGGCATATGTACTACAGCGTCTCAGCGGGTCGAGCGGTCTCGCGTGAAGGGACACATGTATTGAGCCGTATCCGTGTGAACGGAATACTTTTTTGATATCGAATTCGGTTCGTTTGCGTTTCGGTGTAAATGCGGTCTAAGACACAGACTTATTGTTCATAATGTAGCACTATCACCTTTGAATGCCCCACCCCCTCAGTTTTGGGCGTGGGTCATCTTTGACCTATGACCCCCCCCCCCTGGTATCAGGCATGCATGGCACTGTGTTGACACAACATCATAGTTTCCTGCTCTTTGTAGGAAAAAAAAAAGCTTTCGTGTCCAGGTTGGGTGTGAAGAACGCAGGAAATGTTGTGACAGGAAGTACAGAATCAGACCCGTTAAGGTGGAGTCAAACAAGCTGGCCTGCTTTTGATAGGTAGGAAGATACCTGGAAGAGAGACAGACATTTAAAAAAGGATTTTTTGTTGTAAATTCTGCCTCAAATCTGAAATGTTAGCTCACAAAAAGGTAGATGGAGACTTAATGTGCCAGATTGTGTGGGGAACAAATGGATCTGAAATTATAGTTTTTAGAAAGGGTAAAGCAAGCCACATTTTAAAGCTGCCCACGTGTCCTGCATCTGTCTGCTGGGTACACGAGGAGTTCACTGACACACCCAAGAAAATAACACATGAATCAGATGATGAGTGCAGTAGAGAGGGGAGGAATGGCTGTGTGTGGAGCCTTAAAGGAATAGTTAACCACCCAAAGAGTCTAAAATATATATTTCCTATCATAAATGTACTGCTGTTTATTAATCTAGATAGTTTTGGTGTGAGTTGTCTTACACCAACAAAAAAACACATTTTGTTCAGCAGGATAATCTCCACATATTAACACCACTTTATGATTTTCTTAAGTAAGCTAACGTTAGGCTATAAAGGAACTACAGCACGGTCACATGACTTCACGTCACCACCGCTAAGCTAAAGGCGGCTAATGTTGGGCTATAAAGGAACTACAGCACGGTCACATGACTTCACTTCACCACCGCTAAGCTAAAGGTGGCTAATGTTGGGCTATAAAGGAACTACAGCACGGTCACATGACTTCACTTCACCACCGCTAAGCTAAAGGTGGCTAATGTTAGGCTATAAAGAAACTACAGCACGGTCACATGACTTCACGTCACCACCGCTAAGCTAAAGGTGGCTAATGTTGGGCTATAAAGGAACTACAGCACGGTCACATGACTTCACGTCACCACCACTAAGCTAAAGGTGGCTAATGTTGGGCTATAAAGGAACTACAGCACGGTCACATGACTTCACTTCACCACCGCTAAGCTAAAGGTGGCTAATGTTGGGCTATAAAGGAACTACAGCACGGTCACATGACTTCACTTCACCACCGCTAAGCTAAAGGTGGCTAATGTTGGGCTATAAAGGAACTACAGCACGGTCACATGACTTCATGTCACAACCGCTAAGCTAAAGGCGGCTAATGTTGGGCTATAAAGGAACTACAGCACGGTCACATGACTTCATGTCACAACCGCTAAGCTAAAGGTGGCTAATGTTGGGCTATAAAGGAACTACAGCACGGTCACATGACTTCATGTCACAACCGCTAAGCTAAAGGCGGCTAATGTTGGGCTATAAAGGAACTACAGCACGGTCACATGACTTCACGTCACCACCGCTAAGCTAAAGGCGGCTAATGTTGGGCTATAAAGGAACTACAGCCCGGTCACATGACGTCACCACCGCTAAGATAAATGCAGCTAATGTTAGGCGTGTGATGACTGTATCTTGTCCGGTTTTAAAGGAAAGTGCTATGTTATATATTTGTTACGTTAGTTATGCCAGATATTCCAGAGAAATGTGTAATTTTTTAATCAAAGCGTTTCACGGTCATTGTAGGGAAATTAAAACTCAATCTAGCAGCCTGGGGATAGAGGGACAAATTGAAGACATTTCTAATATTAAACACGCAAATTAACTCGGAAAAAACTCGAAAAGCTGGTGTTTCCTTTTAGTTAGTAATTTGTTTTAAAATGATCATTAATAAATCTGTTTTTCCTCTCTGCAGCTGTGGGCAGGTCTGCGCTTCACGGTGCCGCGGCTGAAGGACACACACAAAACGGTCCAGTTTGAGATGCAGATCCGCAGGTACAACACACACACTTCAAATATCTGTGTCTTATGTGTGTATTCTGGTGCGGGCGTACAGAATGAAAACTCCATTTCTTTCCTCTTTCCACAGTAAAAACGAAAATAACTCCCACAGTGAGGTTGTGCCATATAAACTGGAGGTGGAGGTTCAGGCTGACGTCATTCTGCAGGGGTGAGTCGAGTGTTTCCTCATTTCAACTTTTCATTAGGTGTCTTCCTACGCTTTTTTCTCACATCCCCACTTTCTCTTTTTTAGCGTTTCCCGGCCAGATAAGGTCTTCTTCCCGCCGGTCAACTGGAAGCTGACCAAGAACTACGAGGTGGAGCAGGACGTGGGGCCGCCAGTGGAGCACATCTTTGAGGTAAAACATATTTATTTCCCGTTGAGAAATCAAGGAAGATCTAAGAAATTGTACTCCTGTGTGATTTATGCTAATGTCATATCCCTTTTGTGAGATTTAAAGGTGCAATATTTAACTTTTACGCATTAGAAAGACTTAAAGGTCCCATCTCATGCTTTTCTGGTTATTACCCGTCCCCTTGTGTTATGAAGGTTTTTCTGCATGTAAGCGGTCTGCAGAGTCACAAACCCTCAAAGTACACCCTGTAGCGAGTAAAACTCTAACACAGAAAATACCTAGCTGTCTATGCTGCCATACTATACAGAGATGCTGTGAGAAACCAATGTGACTTTGGAACATTGGACAATGTAAATCTATTCTAGTCGACCTCAACAATGGAATTATGATCAGTAGAAATGGCCATGACATGGGACCTTTAAAGCGATGTTATATATTTAGTTGAGTTGTGTATTTTAATTAGCCAATATGTAATGGGTATTTTTCATAAATCTACAGATGCATTTCAGGGTTATTTTAGGAAAATAAAAAACAATTTAAAGATCATGGAGCGAAGCGAGGAAATCTTGGGATTAAAGTGATTAATTTCCATGCAAAGAAATATATATATGAGAAAAATCTAACTTTTTTTAATTCACAAAACCTTATTGCTTTCTGACATATTTTACCACTCTCATTTCAGAGAATATATTCCCTCATGTTGTCTCTGTGATATTTCCCACTGTGGTTTCCTCTGGTCTCCTGTACTGGCATTTTTTTCCCAGTTGAGCATGCGTTCCAAAAGCTGTCATACAATTAATTTTCTTCCAGTTTTAAGCCTCATTTTTCCCAAACACTTTTTAGATCTTGGTGCTTTTAACCCGATAAACAGGCTGAGTTATGGTAGCAGCAGCCTAACATCGTGAGAAGCTTTATTAAGTGTTTTTATCGCTTTATATCAGAGAGAAGGAGGGGACGCTAAAAACCTCTTGAAGCATCAACACTGAAGGAATCCTAATGGCCTTCATAATTACATAATGTCGGCTTAATAGCACTCTACTTTAGGCGACCTATAAGCAAATATGTGAAATATGAAAATGTCATCATGGGAAAACATCTGTTGCTGCCTCTCAGCCGAAGCTAGATTATGAAACTATCTTTTTGAAGTTCCCTAATACTCCACATACTGAAGGTTCCTGTTAATTTCCTCCTTCCTGCAGCTGGTGAACAACGGGCCGAGCCGGATCAGCCACACTCTGCTGGAGCTGCGCTGTCCATTCAGAATCCAGGGCCAGACGCTGCTCTACCCCCTCAGCTTCTCCACCGAGGGACCCATCAACTGCACCGCCGACAAGCACATGAACCACCAACGCCTCAAGGTGAGTGTGTCACATGCAGGTGGAGATATGAGGTGGAGATATGAGGAGCACACTTACTGTTGAATCCTGGTAAACTGGTTGTTTTTGAGGTATACATTCAGCTTAAGTCAAAATGCTTCGGTTATATGTTTCACTAAATGCAACATCTGCATTACGCTGTGTGTCAAACGTTAGCTTTGTACTTAAAGTGGTGTTAATATGTGGAGATTATCCCGCGTGTAAGAATCATAAACCTTTGAGGTTATTTTCTGCAATGATCCAAAGTCCCATTAGGCGCGTTCACACCGGAGTACTTTTCCCCGTACTTTTCCCGTTTGGTTCCGTTAGTACCCCTTATGTCGCGTTCACACCAAAAAGAGTACTTATTGCCGGGAACTTTTACCCCCATTTTTAGTGCCTGCTGAGAGGTGGTTTTCTCCTGGGGGGAAAAAGTGCCCCAGTTCTGATTGGCTGGGCGAATTGCAAACCACACCCCGTAAAACTCTGAAATGTTTTGTAGAGCCGCCATTTTATTATCCTCGCATTAGCATTATTAGCAATTTCTACTGAAGCCAGTCCCCAACTCCGGGGACTTCCGGCCGGGGACTTCGGGTGGCAGTATACGCCGTGAAGTTGTTTGCGGCCTGCCAGTAAACTCAAAGCAGAAGAAGAAGAAGTGACGTCAGCGGCTTCATTTGCGTAATCCTTCCTCAGGGAACTTATTCCGGTGTGAACGCGATCGGCTCTTTAGTTCCATGGGGGAACTAAGTACGGCAAAATACTTGGTGTGAAAGCGGCTATTGGCTTTTTTATGGAGGATCCAAGGAGATGCTGCCTTCAGGCTCCAACACAGAAATACAACATCACAACATCCCTGCAGAATTTGATTTATGTTGTTGTTATTAATATACTTCTGGGTTATAGTTTGCATGGGTTTTCCCGGGTTTAAACACCAATGCCCACCTCTATGATTAAAAGTTCAAATCCACACCATCCTCCTCCTCGTCTTCTTCCTCCTCCTCCTCCTCCTCCTCCTCAGCCCCACCCAGGACACTCACCCCACCACCACCACTTTGAAGTTTCAGCTCTTCCCTTTTCCTCAGAGACGTTTTGATGCACCACCTCACCCAGAAATCACTCAGAAAAGGCGCACCGCTTTACATTAGCTGTAGCCGCGGGGGGCATTTTGTTATGTTTACATCCGAAGCTTGACATATGATTTGAGAGGTGGCCATCTGTCTCCATGTTCTTTTTTCCTCCCTGGTGAATTTCTAAGTGCGGTGCTTTTTTCCATGCAGCTCACATGCTTCTGATTAATGACCAGAAGCCTCGGGGGGGTCATGCTAACGCTATATTGACAGAGAGGGAGGTGTGTTCTTCTGCCTGCTGAGCTCACAGTGTGTGTTGTGCTAACGGGTGTGTGTGTGTGTTTTCTTTTAGCTCCAGCGCACTTCAACAGAACCTCCTATCCTGGCCCTGAAGGCACCGGAGCACCACGTCGAGAGGAGGGACGTCAACAAGAACCAACTCGCGCATTTAACTAACCTGGTAAGACTAAAAAAAAAAGTTTAAATGCACTCATCAGCTTTTTCTTTGGAGCTTTTTATGCTTCCTTAATGTCTTCTTTCAGACTAGTAGAAATAAAACGTCCAATATCCTCATTTAGGAGTTTATTTCAGTAACTTTGTCCGTTTGAGCCTGTAGATTTCTCCTAAATCCACCAAAAAATGGCATTACAAAATGCCTCATTGAGAGTGGCGAACCGTGTCTATCACAACTGGACCTTCTGTAGACACACACACCCCCCCCCCCCTCCTCCGCGGCGTTATAATGTCTGTCTTTTCACTGAATTGTCGTCTTGAAAAGGGTACTCACAACAATTCCGCAACAACTTCATCTTAACCTGTTGCACTTGTCATTTCAACGTTAAAAACAATAAAACGGCATGAATTGCTTCGTCGCATTCATCTAGATCCTCTGTCTCGAGCCAGTTAACTAGCGGGCCTTCTAGAATACCCTGGAACCGAGGGAAACTCTGAAAGAACACGCCCATTGGCTACAAATCAATATATGATTGGTTGATCAAACTGTCAGTCCAAATGTACGCTCTCATTCAGTGCAACGGCCAGGGCCTTCGATCAAGGATGTAGAATACCTTGTTGAAGGATATTCTACCCAGAGACCCAGAACAAGATCTGATTGGTTGCTTTCTAACACAACACCACTGAAATGCGTAGTGCATGGTCCGAGAAGGACAAACAAATCAACGTAACACTGTAATATTACAGATCAACAACACGGATACCATTCTCATTTATTCATTTTATTTACATTTTATTTATATAATTAAATCGATTTTTTGTTTGTTTTATCTGAGTGTTCCAGGGTATTCTCTGAATTCGCCACTGCTCATTTGCATATTTAAACATAACACTTCAGAAGACTTGTAATATGAAAAATAATTGTGTTAATGTCAGCAATGAAATGGGAAAGTTTCATGGTGATATATGTTAGTTAAATGTTTTACCCTATTCACTTCCTATACGAGTTTACAATGCAGATTTTGAAAGGCTGTTTCCTCCAGAAGAGCTTTATTTTCTAAAATATATAACTTTAATCAGCTTTTCTCCTTTAAATATTAATGATACTCAAACAAAATGAGATGGATAGTCTGTTTTGATCATATTTGAGCCTTTTTTCGCCTAAAATATCAAACGTCCTGTTGGATTAATACGACTTTTTTCCACTAAATGTCCGACTTTAGTGGAAAAAAGTCGTATTGATCCAACAGGAAGTACACTTACACCTCTTTCCCTCCTCTCTATATTCTGAAGCTTTTTACACACCCTTCACACACTCATGTATACACACTTTGTCAAGAAAAACATGCAGAAAATGACTTTTTATGGCCGTATTTTCCGATGTATGGAGTGTTACACAGATACTCCCTCTGTCCAAACCTATGACTGTAATATGTCAACAACATTTTGAACCGTGCTTTATCTAATAGCTGCAAACCTGCACATATTAAATTAACATTTAATTAGAGGGAATTGTCACTTTCTTTAGTGTTTAACAACCGGGTGGACTTTATCTCGAGTCTAAAAGGTGGAGTTTAATGTGATCTGTGAGTTGAAAGTGAGGAAATGTGCAGCGTGAGTTTACAGTTAAGAGTTAATGTTGTTATGTGGTTAACATAATGATGTGTGTCTCTTACACAGCTGAAGGTTTAACCATATATAAAGTGTGCGGGTCTGGATCTATTTTGGGGACGCTGCCCCTTCACGAGGCTCCTGGGATTGGATAATTAGGTTATGATGTCGTTAAAAGGAGGAGGGGTTAGAGGTCAGGCTGGGGTGATTAACATTAAAGAGCCTTTAGTAGTGGTAGAGGGGGGGGGGGGTTCTGTCAGTGATGCTCTGCTTACTTCACTGGCTGCTCTGTAATTTTAGGCTATTGGTGTTGTGAGTAATCCTTAAAACCCACCTTCCAGCTGCAGGTGGCTTCTCTGTCCTTTGTTTCAGGGAAACTAGAAAGACTTTTGCCTAAAATACTCTCATGTTCGGGTCAGTATGTAGTGTCTCTACTTTAAAGAGTCCTCTCCTGCTGATGTTCAGGTGTATATCAGTATGTAGTGTCTCTACTTTAAAGAGTCCTCTCCTGCTGATGTTCAGGTGTATATCAGTATGTAGTGTCTCTACTTTAAAGAGTCCTCTCCTGCTGATGTTCAGGTGTATATCAGTATGTAGTGTCTCTACTTTAAAGAGTCCTCTCCTGCTGATGTTCAGGTGTATATCAGTATGTAGTGTCTCTACTTTAAAGAGTGCTCTCCTGCTGATGTTCAGGTGTATATCAGTATGTAGTGTCTCTACTTTAAAGAGTCCTCTCCCGCTGATGTTCAGGTGTATATCAGTATGTAGTGTCTCTACTTTAAAGAGTCCTCTCCTGCTGATGTTCAGGTGTATATCAGTATGTAGTGTCTCTACTTTAAAGAGTCCTCTCCCGCTGATGTTCAGGTGTATATCAGTATGGAGTGTCTCTACTTTAAAGAGTCCTCTCCTGCTGATGTTCAGGTGTATATATGATATGTAGTGTCTCTACTGTGACATTTAAGCACCTCTGATTGGCCGCTTCTGCAAACCCCTGCACAGAAACTGCACCAAAAGGCATTTATTAACAACTTATTAACATGTAACTGCAGACTCTATTATGAAATCTGTACCCGGCTATTTACTCCTGAATGATTAGGATCACTTTAAACTGCAGTATTATCGGATACAGTATCTATCTGTGCAGCAGCTGAGGCCAGTTGTTGCAGGAAGCTGTGGGAAAAGCTCCAGATCTCGACCACTTAATCCCTCCAGAGAGGAAACGTGGCCCCGGGGTCTGAAATATCTTTGGCTCCTCTCCATGCTCATGTCATTTCCACCGAGCGGGGCCACGGAGGTCCTTTAGGAGGGAGGAAGTGGACGGATACGCTCCTGTCTGTCTCAATCCCCTCATTAAGTCTGTGGGACGGAGCCTTAGGAAACTCCTCTCTGCAAACAAGTAAACCCAAGCAGTCCTGCAGGAAACCCAGTGGGAACTGTCACTGTTCAGGTCCATCTTATTGACCTGGACCTTAAAGGTCACCTATTATGCGAAATCCACTTTTCCATGTCTCTTCTACATCAACATGTGTCCCCTCTTCTACATCAACATGTGTCCCCTCTTCTTCATGTCTCTTCTACATCAACATGTGTCCCCTCTTCTACATCAACATGTGTCCCCTCTTCTACATCAACATGTGTCCCCTCTTCTTCATGTCTCTTCTACATCAACATGTGTCCCCTCTTCTTCATGTCTCTTCTACATCAACATGTGTCCCCTCTTCTTCATGTCTCTTCTACATCAACATGTGTCCCCTCTTCTCCATGTCTCTTCTACATCAACATGTGTCCCCTCTTCTTCATGTCTCTTCTACATCAACATGTGTCCCCTCTTCTTCATGTCTCTTCTACATCAACATGTGTCCCCTCTTCTTCATGTCTCTTCTACATCAACATGTGTCCCCTCTTCTTCATGTCTCTTCTACATCAACATGTGTCCCCTCTTCTTCATGTCTCTTCTACATCAACATGTGTCCCCTCTTCTTCATGTCTCTTCTACATCAACATGTGTCCCCTCTGTTGAAAGAGACTCTGAAAGTTTCAGGAACAAAGATTCTCTCTCTTTTTGATCCATTTCTATAAAAACCTGTCTGAAAATGAGCTGATCAGATTTTGGACACTTTATGATGTCATAACGATGTTTTGTCTTGTGTAACCATCAGCCAATCAGCAACCAAGGTAACCCCCCCCCCCCCCCCCCCTTATCACCTGAATCTCCTCCTAGAGCACCATTGAGTTCTTTGTAACCAAATCTCTCTCAGAGGGGCGTGGGGAGGGGCTCCTTATTTTCATCTAAAGTAACAGACAGAGAATCAGCACTTTGGTAACAGGGCTGAAACAGAGGGGATTATGGGTAATGCTGCAATGATCTGTTTGGTGTTTCAGCCAATCAGAGACAGGCTCTGGATATATCTGAGACCTGTGATATATTGATGAGAAACAGTATAATAGGGGACCTTCAAAGTAGATTTGGACAAGGGATCCATTCTGACACACACTCCAACACAACAAAGACCACAGACACATCTCTTAGCATTCCCTGTTTGATCTAAAGCCATTTAAAAACCACCAATACAATTCAGAAAGTTATTCAATAAATAGGCGCTGCTTCCAGAGCATCTGTGTGACGCTGCTACAACAACGCTTAGTCCTTCCCTCCTCCCAAACCCACGCTGCTGAATGTGCCGAGCTGCATGATGAGGAGCTAATTGAAAGTGTGTATGAGGGAAAGGGGGGGCGGGCGGTAATGTGCGCGCTGCACTTCTAGTCTCATGACATTCCTCCGCTCTAATTCAAAGCAGGCGTGGAGTAGTGTCATAACATTGAGCTCTTTGTGTTTTCTTTATTGGACCGGCAGCTTTAACATGGCTCTGATTCCTCCTCTCCAGATCTCACTTCTCTCTGTGCAGCTTTTGGGGCAATAAAACCCTTTAGAGATTCTGTGTATGCACAAAGAAAGATCTAAACACAACTAATTGGGCTTTTAATTAACCCATTGCTGCCCAGAGACTCTGTGTTATCATTTAAGCCGATGTTTAGAGTGCTTAATAGATGTGTTGGGACCTCTAGGTTATTTGGTTGGTGTTGTTAAGCTCTCTCCGATTCTAGACGTGTTTGTAAAATGTATTTTCAGTTTAGTGTCTCTATTCTCAACCTCCGGGTGTCCATTTCCACATATCTGCATTCTGTGGTATGAGAGCAGCAGAGAGCCTTCATACTGTTAAGAAACAAGACCCACCTTTTTACTAGTTTTAAGTCCTTATTTTCTTCTTAGTTCATATTTCTCCCTTCTCTTTTTCTTCTCATTTAATTCTTAATTGAGTTTTTATTTGTACTCGTATTTAATCATCTTAAGTTTTAGGTTTGTGAATCACTGTTTCAAACGTACTGAAGTTTGTTTTCTAAACTCATGATATCTCCTCTGTGTTTCTGTAGTCCTGCTCGAACACCGAGTGCTGGGCGCTGCAATGCACTGTGGGTATTCTGGAGAAGGGAACCACCGCCATCCTCAAAGTGCGATCTAGAGTCTGGGCCGAGACGTTCACTGAGGTCGGTAACGCACACACAGACACACACACACACACACACACACACACACACACACACACACACACACACTTCAGGGGACATTACATTGACTTGCATGCATTTCCTGGAGACTTATCCTAACCTTAACCATAACCAAGTCTTCACCCTACAATTAATGATTCCCCTTATGGGAACCTCCACTATGTCCCCATAAGGGAGGCGAGTCCCCACATATGACTGTGTAAACAGATGTAGGTCCCCACAAGGACAGTAATGCTAGGACACACACACACTCTCTAACACACACACAAACACCTGCAGAGGAAGACGCAATTGTTCACGAAAGCATCAAAAAGTATGAAAGCCCTGAAAGACAAACGAGAGAGAAACAAGTCTCCTGTGTTTATGACTTTGAAACGTCTCACAGTGGCTTTTCCCTTTATGTTTAATTTAAAATATTAATATATGATTATAATTAAAAGGATAGTACTATAAGACCTGAGGGATCTAAAGGGTTAATAGGTTACAAGCACATCTGATTAAATAACTTTGCCCAAGACCATCAAGAGCTTTAAAAACCAATACAAGTCATTTAAAATCTGATTTATTCATCTGTTTTACTCCTGAAAAATGTCAAGATTAAAGATTTAGGTTGTTCTTAAGTCATAAATACAGGACCGTTTAATCAGATTTAGAAAATAGATCAGCAAGATGTTATTCTTTTCTAAAACTAGCCCATAATAATGAAGCATGGAGAGTAGCTGCAGGACTCAGCGCTGTCAGTCTGCACAGTCTCACATAGTTTCTCCTGACAAATGGGAACAGTTGCTATCTAAGAATCTGCGGACTGCACTTTCTACATGTTTACATTTCTCCTCTGTCTGCCGTGCTTTCAACAAACTCCTGACCTCTGCATGCTGAGGTGGGAAGTAGTGGAGTTCAAATACTTTGTTACTCTGGTATCAGTACTTTACGCCACTACTTATTTTTCTGAGGACTTTTTACTTTGACTTCTTACATGTTGAACACAAATACCTGTACTTTCTACTTCTTACATGTTGAACACAAATACCTGTACTTTCTACTTCTTACATGTTGAACACAAATACCTGTACTTTCTACTTCTTACATGTTGAACCCAAATACCTGTACTTTCTACTTCTTACATGTTGAACTCAAATACCTGTACTTTCTACTTCTTACATGTTGAACTCAAATACCTGTACTTTCTACTTCTTACATGTTGAACCCAAATACCTGTACTTTCTACTTCTTACCTGTTGAACCAACATACCTGTACTTTCTACTTCTTACATGTTGAACCCAAAAACCTGTACTTTCTACTTCTTACAGGTTGAACCCAAATACCTGTACTTTCTACTTCTTACATGTTGAACCCAAATACCTGTACTTTCTACTTCTTACATGTTGAACTCAAATACCTGTACTTTCTACTTATTACATGTTAAACCCAAATACCTGTACTTTCTACTTCTTACATGTTGAACTCCAATACCTGTACTTTCTACTTCTTACATGTTGAACTCAAATACCTGTACTTTCTACTTCTTACATGTTGAACTCAAATACCTGTACTTTCTACTTCTTACATGTTGACCTACAAATACCTGTACTTCTACTTCTTACATGTTGAACACAAATACCTGTACTTTCTTACTTCTTACATGTTGAACACAATACCTGTACTTTCTACTTCTCTACATGTTGAACACAAATACCTGTACTTTCTACTTCTCACATGTTGAACACAAATACCTGTACTTTCTACTTCTTACATGTTGAAAACCCAAATACCTGTACTTTCTACTTCTTACATGTTGAACACAAATACCTGTACTTTCTACTTCTTACATGTTGAACCCAAATACCTGTACTTTCTACTTCTTACATGTTGAACACAAATACCTGTACTTTCTACTTCTTATATGTTTGAACACAAATACCTGTACTTTCTACTTCTCACATGTGAACTCAAATACCTGTACTTTCTACTTCTTACATGTTGAACACAAATACCTGTACTTTCTACTTCTTACATGTTGAACTCAAATACCTGTACTTTCTACTTCTTACATGTTGAACTCAAATACCTGTACTTTCTACTTCTTACATGTTGAACACAAATACCTGTACTTTCTACTTCTTACATGTTGAACACAAATACTGTACTTTCTACTTCTACATGTTGAACTCAAATACCTGTACTTTCTACTTCTTACATGTTGAACTCAAATACCTGTACTTTCTACTTCTTACATGTTGAACACAAATACCTGTACTTTCTACTTCTCACATGTTGAACACAAATACCTGTACTTTCTACTTCTTACATGTTGAACTCAAATACCTGTACTTTCTACTTCTTACATGTTGAACTCAAATACCTGTACTTTCTACTTCTCACATGTTGAACACAAATACCTGTACTTCTACTTCTTACATGTTGAACACAAATACCTGTACTTTCTACTTCTTACATGTTGAACACAATACCTGTACTTTCTACTTCTTACATGTTGAACTCAAATACCTGTACTTTCTACTTCTTACATGTTGAACTCAAATACCTGTACTTTCTTCTACTTCTACATGTTGAACACAAATACCTGTACTTTCTACTTCTTACATGTTGAACTCAAATACCTGTACTTTCTACTTCTTACATGTTGACCCAAAATACCTGTACTTTCTACTTCTAACATGTTGAACTCAAATACCTGTACTTTCTACTTCTTACATGTTGAACTCAAATACCTGTACTTTCTACTTCTTACATGTTGAACTCAAATACCTGTACTTTCTACTTCTAACATGTTGAACTCAAATACCTGTACTTTCTACTTCTTACATGTTGAACTCAAATACCTGTACTTTCTACTTCTAACATGTTGAACTCAAATACCTGTACATTCTACTTCTTACATGTTGAACCCAAATACCTGTACTTTCTACTTCTTACATGTTGAACTCAAATACCTGTACTTTCTACTTCTAACATGTTGAACTCAAATACCTGTACATTCTACTTCTTACATGTTGAACATCAAATACCTGTACTTTCTACTTCTTACATGTTGAACTCAAATACCTGTACTTTCTACTTCTTACATGTTGAACTCAAATACCTGTACTTTCTACTTCTTACATGTTGAACCCAAATACCTGTACTTTCTACTTCTTACATGTTGAACTCAAATACCTGTACTTTCTACTTCTTACATGTTGAACTCAAATACCTGTACTTTCTACTTCTTACATGTTGAACTCAAATACCTGTACTTTCTACTTCTTACATGTTGAACTCAAATACCTGTACTTTCTACTTCTTACATGTTGAACTCAAATACCTGTACTCTCTACTTCTTACATGTTGAACTCAAATACCTGTACTCTCTACTTCTTACATGTTGAACACAAATACCTGTACTTTCTACTTCTTACATGTTGAACACAAATACCTGAACTTTCTACTTCTTACATGTTGAACTCAAATACCTGTACTTTCTACTTCTCTCATTTTCCAAACAGCTGGTTCCTTTAGTCTGAATGTGTGTTTGGTGCGTGATCATTATTCTTTAGAGTCATTGCGTGCCTATTGATTTGAACACGATCCGTGTATCCATCATTTCCTGGTCTTCTCTAAAGAAGAGGGACCAATGGAAACGTTGTCATGTTGCCGTTGTTCAGCATGGAAACATTCATTAGCTAACAATGACATTATTGTTCTATTGATATAAAGGGAGGTCAGGTACTCTTTAAAACAGCTGGTAGTTATGGGTACTTTTTACTGAAGTACACTTCAAAGCCTCTTTACTTTTACTTGAGTAAAGAAGTTTAGTCAGTACTTCTACTTTCACCAGAGTATTTTTAAACACGAGTATCTGTACTTCTACTTCAGTAAAGGATGTGTGTACTTCTACTTGAGTAAAGGATGTGTGTACTTCTACTTGAGGAAAGGATGTGTGTACTTCTACTTGAGGAAAGGATGTGTGTACTTCTACTTGAGTAAAGGATGTGTGTACTTCTACTTGAGGAAAGGATGTGTGTACTTCTACTTGAGGAAAGGATGTGTGTACTTCTACTTGAGGAAAGGATGTGTGTACTTCTACTTGAGTAAAGGATGTGTGTACTTCTACTTGAGTAAAGGATGTGTGTACTTCTACTTGAGTAAAGGATGTGTGTACTTCTACTTGAGGAAAGGATGTGTGTACTTTTGCCTTCTCTGATTGTGATGATGGAGATGTATCTAAAGAAGTCTCTGTCGCCTCCCAGTGTCTGACGGCTGCATTGCATTCATTGTTTGAATCCTTTCTCCACGATCTTCCCCGTGTAGAGAGCGTACAAACACTACGTGCTGGAGTGTCTCGCCCAATACAGCGTGGAGAAGATGCCGTACGCCATCGCCCCGAAACACGCGCCCAGCGGACACAAAAAGGTATTTTACATGTCATTTTCCAGTCGGATCATAATCAGATATATTTCATTTTTTTTATTTAAGGCTCCAGTCATTAGTTGACTCATTATTTTGTCCATTTGGAGGAAAATAAAGCACATTTTGATGATAATTGATTGTGTTTCATGCAAGAAAAGGCAGTTTTTAGCCTCTCAAACCTTTTATGCTGCTTTAATTAGCTTTTTATTTTATTTTGCACACTTATTGTAAATAATATCTTTCACTGTCGACATGCAAACCTTTTAATGTTTTTTTATATTGTTAATATGGATATTTTTACTGTTTATTTTCTCTTTTATTTCATGTGCAAAGCCTTGTTTACATGCTGCTGTGCCAACATCATAATAAAGTTTGTTTAATCTGAATTGATATCATTTAAAAGTGAATATAAGTGAGTTTTGGACATCAGATATTTAGAGACATCCCATCGGACTTTGAGAAACTACGATGGACGTTTTTCACTACTTTCTCCCATGTTGTCGACCATGAATGAATGAATCTAGGAAACAATCATTAGTGGATATGAGTTAAACTGATAAACTGTGATGTGTCCTCAGGTTGTGACCCCGCTGCTTTGGAATAAGCCGGACATAGAGAACTCGGTTCCTCTGTGGATCATCATCCTGGCCATTTTAGCAGGTTTACTGCTGCTGGCTCTGCTCATCTACGTCCTGTACAAGGTCAGTGCCAATATAGGCCACGCAAAGCAAGCAGAAACTATATTTGTCATCCTTCAGGGGGTCCGCGGGGTCTGAAACAGCATTACAAGTTGATAAATCAATTTAGCGAAAATTAAGGCTATTAAAAAGCATTTTCCAAGGTATTACATTTAGCTTGTTTTCAATAAGTATATAAATGGTCCAAAGAGGTTGTGTTCTACAGTCTGCCTGAATGTAATCATAGCGTAGGTGTGTCGTGTGATTCTGTGTAGTTTATTGATGGCATCCCGTTGGGTTTGACGTAATCTGAACAGGACATCGCACGCTCACTGCTTGATAGCGCGAAGGTCTGTTTACGCCGGTTGTTAAACAGCATCGTTATGGGGAAATGCAAGTCTGCGTCCAAATGGTTGGAAGATAAGGAGGAAGGACAATCCATACTGTGTATAGTCAATGTGAGGTAAAGTGTGTCGTCAAGGTAACCGGTCAAAACTCCAAGTGGCGATGAGGTCTTAAAATGTACGGAAAGGGTCTTAAAAGGTCTTACATTTAACTTCAGGATTCCTGCATAGACCCTGGAATTTATATTCTTAAGCTTTTCATACCCTTAAATCCTAAAAACAGTATTTCATTCACTTCCATAACATGTCTTCTTTCAGACTAGTGGAATCAAAACATCCACAATTAGGAGTTTATTTGACTAACGTCTGTTTGTGTCTGTACATTTCTCCTAAGTTAGCGCTACATGATGCCTCATTTGCAGATTTTAACAAAAAATGTCAACAAAAATATCCCTGAGATTCGGATTGTGGGTGTGACAGAAAACACATTTAAAGATGTCAGGATTTGCAATTATTTGACTTTTTCTGACATGTTATGGACCAATCATGTCATCATGTCTCAAGTTACCAAACTACAACAATATTCATTTTTAATATGTTGTAATGCATGCTTCTTGGGTAACATGAAGCTGTCTTTGACTCTTTTCTTGCTGTAACAAATGCAAATGTCCGCTCTGTGGGACGATGTTATGTATATCACATTCCCCTTGGAGAGTCATGCAGTAAATGATGTTTTTAGGGCAGTGTTTTCTGGTTCATGGAGGGATTTCCTTTGTAAAAACATGTCAACAAAATGAAGCAAGAATCTTGAACCTGGCAGTGTTCACATCTCTGTTCTGGATAATAACATCATTGTCATCGTATTAATCCGCACAGTCCCTTTTTAACGCTCTTGTCTCCGACTTAAGTGATGAAGTCTGTGCTGTTTACTAATTCCTTCTTTCTTGAACTTGTTTCCTTGCAGTTGGGCTTCTTTAAGCGCTCTCTCCCGTACGGCACGGCGATGGAGAAGGCTCAGCTGAAGCCTCAGGCTGCGTCCGAGGCGTAACGCCGAACCACAGGAACCACAGGAACCGGCCGTATGATTGCAACGAGAAACACGATGAAGAGTGGATCAGAAAGAGATTTAAGAGACACCACTGGAAACTCCACTGTGCTGCACTACAGGAACAACCCAAAGATCTCCAAAGCCAAATGAATGTTTTTATTTCTTTTTTAACTTATGTCGGCAGAACTGTTTCTCACTGAGACTGAACGGCAGCAAGGCGACTGCAGAGAGATGCTTTTACTCTGGTGCTAATGGTCTCACAGGTTACATGCAGCAGGAGCTGTGAATTACGCCGCGTGCAGAGACCCTGAAGTATCCTTCTGGTATCTCCAGAACACGTGGTTTTTACAGAAGGATGATCGGATTGTTTTCAGGTGAAAAAGTCGACATTACTGGCCTACACGTCGGACCTGAATCTGTTCAATTGCTCGGCTTTTATCACATTTTTCCAAGAAGCATCGGTTCTTTAACGGCTGGAGGACGGCGCTGCGTCGAGAAATCTACTGATTCATTCCAGAGAAACCTTCCTTTGAGAGTTTAGCTCACAGCAGGAAGAAGAGAGGATATGTGCAGGAAGTGACGCTGAGGTGAAGCACGAGGGGGGGGGGGGATGTCTCCACCCGAAGACAATCAGCGATGTTGTAGCTCGTTGCAGACAGATTTAGTTTAAGGGTCTGTGTTCACATAACGCCTTTTTCTGCGTCATCTCATCCACAGTTCAAATCAAATCAAGTTTTATTTATATAGCACATTTATAAACGATTTTTGTTCGAGCCAAAGTGCTGTACATATAATAAAAATAGCCTACAGTAGAGACACTTTACAGCAAATACAACAGCACAGATTGTTCAGAATATCAGTTGTTTGTAGCCCTTGTTTTATTGCTTCTATGACACTGACATCTTGACAAAGTATCACAGGAGTCGGACTAGCTTCTTGGATGTAATCATCTGTTTCTGCTATTAGTTTGACAGTGTTTTCTCACCTGAAGCAGCATCCCAAACATGCTTCACTTTGTCTGTATGTGTTCAGTCTGACAGCTGTAGCGCGAGGAGGCTGATTTCCATACAGATGTAACCTTCACACACTCGCCGTCAGCAACATCTAGTGTCCAGGATAAAGAACGTGTTGGTCTTTGTTATGATAATTCCCGTCTGAAGACACGGTTCAAAACAAGCTTTTTACACAATTTCTGCTGCGACACCGTCATGTATCTCACAATATGAAATAACTCGGAGAAGCTGCAAAAAAAATGGCGGAGCGCTAAAATAAAAGTCGCTATGCGCAGCGTTTATTTTCAGATTCGGCCGTATTTGATTTGATGGCATGTTCTCATTGAAAAAAGACGCTCAGAAAAAGGCGCCATGTGGACTAGAGAGGAGGCGGGATCTCCAGGGTTGCACGATACCACGTCTCCACTTTGCGATAACTCCCAGAAAAAGACATTGCATGTAGAGTTTTTTTCCAATATCGTGCAGACCCTCCCTCAGTTTGCAGTGTGTTGCGGTGAGAAACTGTAATCCTGCCCACCCTCAGAAAGAGAGAGAGAGAGAGAGAAGACTTCCTCCCAGACGCTGCAGGGACTGGACGGAAAAATGCATCTTTGATTTGTTGTCGTGTACATAGATGTTATGTGCCTTAAATGTAAATACTGAGGGTTACGTGTGTGTGTGTGTGTGTGTGTGTGTGTGTGTGTGTGTGTGTGTGTGTGTGTGTGTGTGTGTGTGTGTGTGTGTGTGTGTGTGTGTGTGTGTGTGTGTGTGTGTGTGTGTGTGTGTGTGTGTGTGTGTGTGTGTGTGTGTGTGTGTGTGTGTGTGTGTGTGTGTGTGTGTGTGTGTGTGTGTGTGTGTGTGTGTACGTACATGCATTTGTGTGAATGGGATATTTATGAATGTGTGTTCTTTGTATGCATTGGTTTGTGCCCTTGTAACACATTAAGTAACAATTACACACAATGCAATACAGTTTTACTTCATCATGTATTCATCTGCTGCATTTTTAAATAGATTGTTATGCATTGCATGAGCTTTTATTGTTTGAATCCAATTGGAATAATACATGCAACCAAAATAGATTTTTAGGAAGGAAAAATCTAAGAAATAATCTATTAAATTCACTATTACGGCCGGTTATTACATAATGCATTAATGTATCATTACATTTATATTTTAAAAAAACTAAATTGCAACTCTAAAATGTTGTAACAATGCTGCAGATATTATTGTTTACTGTACAGTAAGTACATTTACTCAAGTACTGTACTTAAATACCACTTTGACATACTTGTACTTAGTATTTCTAGTACTGTGCTACAAACATGTAGTGTCTCTACTTTAAAGAGTCCTCTCCTGCTGATGTTCAGGTGTATATCAGTATGTAGTGTCTCTACTTTAAAGAGTCCTCTCCTCCTGATGTTCAGGTGTATATCAGTATGTAGTGTCTCTACTTTAAAGAGTCCTCTCCTGCTGATGTTCAGGTGTATATCAGTATGTAGTGTCTCTACTTTAAAGAGTCCTCTCCTGCTGATGTTCAGGTGTATATCAGTATGTAGTGTCTCTACTTTAAAGAGTCCTCTCCTGCTGATGTTCAGGTGTATATCAGTATGTAGTGTCTCTACTTTAAAGAGTCCTCTCCTGCTGATGTTCAGGTGTATATCAGTATGTAGTGTCTCTACTTTAAAGAGTCCTCTCCTGCTGATGTTCAGGTGTATATCAGTATGTCGTGTCTCTACTTTAAAGAGTCCTCTCCTGCTGATGTTCAGGTGTATATCAGTATGTAGTGTCTCTACTTTAAAGAGTCCTCTCCTGCTGATGTTCAGGTGTATATCAGTATGTAGTGTCTCTACTTGAAACAGTATTTTAAAACCATAGTATGTCTACTTTTACTTAAGTAAAGGATCTGAGTACTTCCTCCACCACAGTCCTTTTTAAAGTGCAGTAGATTATAACAAAATGAAGTAAATGTATTGAACTTCGTGACGTTTTTCTTACATAATGTGTTGTTAAAACTCTTCCCACTGCTCAGCCCTGTTCATCCCTTCACCTCTGTGTCTGATGTGAAATGATTCTGCATTAATGTCGGTCATCATGCAGTGGAAGCTCAGGACGATTTGTCTTTTCTGCAACACAGTTCAAACATTTACATACCTCATTGTAAGTCCAAAGAAACATCTGTAAGAATTCACCTAGTGCAGCTCGATTCTGGTTCAATATGTCTTGGTTCTTCCGGTTTAGCACGAGCAGCTTTGTAAACGATCGGATCATTCACAGCTGTACTGCCAGTGGCTCTGAAATGTTGGCTTTCATTCTAGCTAGGGTCAAATTAGTGGCGCTCATAATTTTAATTGGGATCTTAATTATAAACGCCCTATGGTTAGACATGCCATGCGGAACAACATGGTTGACGTGTTTTCTTTAAGGGTTAGCTTAATAGCTCACGACAGCTCCAAACATCGCGATGAATCCTCAAATATACATTATTTGGATCAACTAATCACTTATTGGTGATCAAAATGGGTGGTTTCTAACCTGACAGATACCTTAATAACAACTCATTCAAAAGCTTTAGAAACAGTTCCTTTCGCTAGTAAAGGTTGATAAAGCTGGCGACGCTATGCTAAGGTAATAGCAATGACTCTTTAACCAGAATTACCAAGACATTAAAAGCGAAGCGCTATGAGGTGAAACCCGTCCAGAGAACCAGGAAGTGTTTACCTCCGGAGGAACAGCTGAGCTCTGGGAACTGGAAAATGTTTGGAAGTGCAATATTTATATTCACTCTGTTGTTTTAATATTACAGTGCTTTCATTTGTTGTCATAAACCAGGACTTTTTATGTGTTTTATTTCACAGTATGTGACGAGCACGTACGCGACATCCTGTTTTGTATTCACTTGCTTTATCACTCGACACGGTTTAAGGTTGTGTGCTCACCACTTCATCGCTGTTTTGTTTTTTTAAACAACCTCTCTGAGTTGAACTCGGAGTTGTTGACACGGATCAGCCATAGCCTACTATAATAACCATATTCACACGTTTGCCTCATCACACTCTTATTATCCGCAGTTTGTCTCCATAGGCTATCTGATTTAAAACTCATGTCGACATTATTTAAATGGGATCTTTTGACTACTTCCTCCGTGGTTACATCAGGAAAGGGCACTGGGTTTTATTTCTTTAAAAACAAAGCAATTTCCACTCTCCATGACTTCCAAAAAGAAGTATATTTATGACGAGGGGAGTGTTTCTAAATTGACAGGATATCTGATTTGTTGTGAATTTCTCTCTCCCCATATTGGGGGGAACATTTTTACCTGTAATTGTTTGTACTTTTAATAAAATATTTCCCTTTTTACAAACTCTTCTTTGTGATGCTTTCATTGACACAAGTAACTGAGAAAATAATTTATTTAGAAAAAACAACATGGTATGAAATTAGATGTCAGTCGGTGTTGGCAGGAAATGATATAACAATATATTAATGTGGAAGCGTTTGTGCACAGAAAACTGACCTAAAGTGATAACATATGGTGTCGATCTGCAGGGTTTGTTCTTCCACAGACAGCAGGATACAAAATGTTAGAGTAAAGATTTCTTACACCAAAAGTATGCTTCACTGCTTTTGTCAGTTCCCACTGTGGCACATGCACGGCTGTAAGGCTTCTTGGATACAAAAAAGTTCCTCAGACATCATCATTTCATCTCTGGTTCATCGTTAGAGGTTATTAATGTAGACATGTTCACTCCTGATACTTCGCAGAGAGCTTTTCCCTAAATGTCCTTCAGTTAAAGTGAATCCACAGCATCTCGGAAGTCTTTCAGTTTGAGTTTTTGTTCAGATTTCGGCTTTAGTTTTAATCAGTCTTTTCCACGCAGACGCTCTAACACTCGATGGTTCTGGATAGCTGCGTTAGTTTGCGCTGGTTGTCGACCACCTTCAGGTTCTGGATGTAGTGCCGGATGTTGCTGGGGCTCCGAAGAGGAAGGGAGTATTCTGAGCCTGGAGGAGGAGGGGAAATCATTTTAGACTTTAGAGAGCGTTAAAGGGTATATCAGTATGTAGTGTCTCTACTTTAAAGAGTCCTCTCCTGCTGATGTTCAGGTGTATATCAGTATGTAGTGTCTCTACTTTAAAGAGTCCTCTCCTGCTGATGTTCAGGTGTATATCAGTATGTAGTGTCTCTACTTTAAAGAGTCCTCTCCTGCTGATGTTCAGGTGTATATCAGTATGTAGTGTCTCTACTTTAAAGAGTCCTCTCCTGCTGATGTTCAGGTGTATATCAGTATGTAGTGTCTCTACTTTAAAGAGTCCTCTCCTGCTGATGTTCAGGTGTATATCAGTATGTAGTGTCTCTATTTTAAAGAGTCCTCTCCTGCTGATGTTTCAGGTGTATATCAGTATGTAGTGTCTCTACTTTAAAGAGTCCTCTCCTGCTCAGGTGTATATCAGTATGTAGTGTCTCTACTTTAAAGAGTCCTCTCCTGTTGATGTTCAGGTGTATATCAGTATGTAGTGTCTCTACTTTAAAGAGTCCTCTCCTGCTGATGTTCAGGTGTATATCAGTGTGTAGTGTCTCTACTTTAAAGAGTCTTCTCCTGCTGATGTTCAGGTGTATATCAGTATGTAGTGTCTCTACTTTAAAGAGTCCTCTCCTGTTGATGTTCAGGTGTATATCAGTATGTAGTGTCTCTACTTTAAAGAGTCCTCTCCTGCTGATGTTCAGGTGTATATCAGTATGTAGTGTCTCTACTTTAAAGAGTCCTCTCCTGCTGATGTTCAGGTGTATATCAGTATGTAGTGTCTCTACTTTAAAGAGTCCTCTCCTGCTGATGTTCAGGTGTATATCAGTATGTAGTGTCTCTACTTTAAAGAGTCCTCTCCTGCTGATGTTCAGGTGTATATCAGTATGTAGTGTCTCTACTTTAAAGAGTCCTCTCCTGCTGATGTTCAGGTGTATATCAGTATGTAGTGTCTCTACTTTAAAGAGTCCTCTCCTGCTCAGGTGTATATCAGTATGTAGTGTCTCTACTTTAAAGAGTCCTCTCCTGTTGATGTTCAGGTGTATATCAGTATGTAGTGTCTCTACTTTAAAGAGTCCTCTCCTGCTGATGTTCAGGTGTATATCAGTATGTAGTGTCTCTACTTTAAAGAGTCCTCTCCTGCTGATGTTCAGGTGTATATCAGTATGTAGTGTCTCTACTTTAAAGAGTCCTCTCCTGTTGATGTTCAGGTGTATATCAGTATGTAGTGTCTCTACTTTAAAGAGTCCTCTCCTGCTGATGTTCAGGTGTATATCAGTATGTAGTGTCTCTACTTTAAAGAGTCCTCTCCTGCTGATGTTCAGGTGTATATCATGTTGGTGGATGTAGCTTCTTACATGTTGAAATGCGATTGGAAGGCCCTTCCAGAAACATCCGGTCTGCGAGGCCCCTCTGTGGAGAAGACGGTACTGCAGAGGAGAAATAAAGATTATAATTCCTTAAATGTCCTGCATGCATCCTTTAGCCAAACACTACTTTACTTTAACATGCAGGTTTCTGTATTTATATCACATAATCTTTAGTATTGTTGTTGTGTTACAAGTTGGAAATGTTAGATAAATTAATGTAAAATATTTTGGGTCCAAGTTTTGTCTAAAAAACTAGGGCACTTCAAAATAAGCAGTGTGTGAGTGCTTGAGTATGAAATGCCCCTCAATCACAGTTTGCCCATGTTTTAAAAGGTGTCTATAACTTACCGTACGGCTGGCTTCTGCATCCTCGGACCATTTTCACTGTCTTGGCGATCATGCGCTGTGACAATGGGAGGAAAAGGAAAACATTTGAAGGTGATTAATATCAAGCCAACATTTGTGAGATGTATAATTCATTCAAACGAACCCGTTACACAGAATGTTCCAGTCTTACCACTTTCTCAAAGTTGACCAGTTTGTCGACGTAGTTTGGATTTCCCTCATTGATGAACGTCATGTCTGTGCAAAGAGAGGACCAGAACACATTCATTAAAGCATTTATTTTCACTTCTGTGACGAAGGTAACTTCGTCACTGTGAACTGACGGCTTCGGGCATTTGTATACAATGTATACTATTTATTGATGTCGTGTTTATAGTATTTTATTTTGAAATATGTTCCCCTTTCGCCATGTCTGTTGCCGTTGAGTGTGTGCACCTGGTGCCCTGTGTTGTCTCCTCCCCCCTCACCTGTGTCCTGTTGGGTTGTGCATTTAGGCTCTGGGGTTTTTCTGTTTGGGAGAGTGTGTGTGAGATCCTGGTGGTGGCTGGTGGCTGGTGGCTGTGTTCACGCGTGGGCAGCAGATTGATGCTGTGTTTATGACGTAACAAATGCCCACACCGGGTTGTATTTTGGACGTTCTGCCTCTGCCTCCTTGCTTGGTCTGGGCTGCTCAATTGTCAGCTTCACAACTTCTAATGCTGAATTCATTTCATTGCTGTTTTTTAAAAACTGTGACGGCCAACGGTAAAGATTTTGCAGCAGATAAAGCAATGTCTCTGCTGGTCATGTATATATAATGCACAGAAAATAGGGATGCATTATATTGGATTGTTGCAGATAATCCCATTGCTTTATATATGAGGCGGTTTATGGATCTGGAAATGAACCTCCACACTGCTGACTCTACAGGATAAAGTACTTGTTAGAGCCAGAGTTTAGTTTTTATCAGAAAGGCCACCTAACCGTGACGTCTGTCGTCAACCTGAGTATAAAAGACTACAATTCCCACGGCGCCTCCTCTGAAGTGACAGACCTGCCAGAAAGACGCCAGTGTTTTTGAAAGTTTTTTTTTTCAATGCCCTTTAAGTGATATAAGCCTTATCAAGAAAGAATACCTCTGTTGTTTGTTAGTTTATTTGTTTTGATTATTGTAAAGGCTTTTTTCTTTGTTGCATGTGTACAAGTTTGTTATTTGATTTTGAGCAAACACATTGCATAATATCATCTAAACCACATGTGTCAAACTCGAGGCCCGGGGGCCAAATCAGGCCCGTGGTGAATTTAATTTCGGCCCGCAGGATAATTTCTAATTCCTATTAGATCTGGCCCGCCGGTATATTGCACCTTCACTCCATCCTGAGGGTCTCCTCCGCTCAGAGCCTGAGCCCAAACATTGATGACCTTGCACCCAAGATGAGATGCCAAGTATCTGAACTAGCATCACAGAGATAGAGCCATAAGAAATGAATGCACCTGATTATTTAATGTTGTTTTTATAGGCAATAATTTAAGCTTTGTTAGTTCCAGGCTTAATATGTGCAATAAGTTCATTTCAATACGTTTTGCAATAAACATTGAACCAGTCCGGCCCTCCACTAGTACCCATTTTTTAATTTTGGCCCACTGTGTATTTTAATTTGACCGCCCTGCTCTAAACCATCGGAGGCCAAGCAACACTTCAACTGTAAGTAACATAAAAATGTCTGTTTAAGGCGTCTAGTGGCTTGATACCAAAGCTTTCGCCACTGTATAGTTAGTTTAATAGGTTTATTTTTCCGCTACTTCCCCCCCCCACCCCCTTAACCTGTCTGCCTTTTTTCCCCTACTCCCCCCCCCCCCTACCCGACTTGTAAAGCGACCTTGGGTTTCCTGAAAGGCGCCATAAAAATATTATATATTATTATTATTATTATTGATAGAAAAACAAGGAAGGACGCCACCACAGCACTCTTTTACATTTGCAGGGATAGTATTGTTTCTGTAAGTGAAAAGTGGTTTTAGTTTATTTGATTGAACATGTTTGAAGCATGTCGTGTCACCTTTGAGCAGCAGCGGCATGAAGGGGATGTACGGAGGACTGAGTTTAGCCACAGCTAGTCTGTAGGCTCGGTGGTTACGAGAGGGATCCTGACAGGAGAAGAAACACAGATATTATGTCACATTACAATAATGTACTTAACCAATCATTTTAGAACGTTTATAAAGTTGTGACTTACCATCAACCTCTCATAGGCGCAGTAAATCCTTTTTATCTTGCTGGGTATTCTCTGGATTAGACGTTAACAGATGTTAGTTAATGATGACAGTTATATATAATCATCATCACTCTACCAGGGGGTCAAACTCAATTTCATCGTGGGCCACATCAGCACTATGGTTGCACTCAAAGGGCCGGTTGTAACTATAAGACTATATAAAAATATAAATATATAATATATATTAAATAATGTATTATATTATTGGCTCTGCATTGGATTATTATCAGTTCTGGTAATAACTTCATAAATAACTACGTCTGAAAGTAGAAGGCAAACCATTCAAAGCAAATATTCAACAATCAAAACCTTTGAAAGAACATCCATAACATCTGTTTGCAACTTATATATATGTCAATATTCCAAATACTTGTATAGAGACTATTCTGCACTATTTCTATTATATTATATTATATTTTATTCACTTGCACTATTATCTGTGTTATTGTGTTGCACTGTTGGAGGAGCCTGTTACCTAAGATGTTCATTATCATAACTACACTGTAGCTATGCACACATGCCAATAAAAGCCTTGAATCTTGATTTGTATTGTATATTATATTCTTTGCAAGCTCTTGCAGGCCACATAAAATGAAGCCGCGGGCCGGATTTGGCCCCCGGGCCTTGAGTTTGACACCCCTGCTCTACACAGTCAGTGGTTTCTCACCTCCCAGGTCTTGTAAAGCCTGTGTACTGCACTGTTGCTCAAACCGAACATCACAGCGAAGAATGAATTCAGGTTCTTCTGCTCCTTTAATCTGAGACATAGAGACACACACACATTATTTCTTACATGAACAGTTTGATTCAGATGACAAGGGGTTTGAAAGACAATATGTGCAAACTGTTATATGAGTTTACTCAGCGCTAGGGGATCTGTGAGCTAAATGCTAACGTTAGCATGCTAATGGTAATGTCAATCATTTTGCATGTTTTTGGACAAAGAAGCAGCATCCAGTTCTGAAAAGTGGAGCTAATGCAGACGCACCTCAAACCTGCATTCTCGCTAATGTCCAGCAGAGTGCGATGAGAAGTCTATGAGATAATGTTACTACTTCTCTCTTGATTTGTTACCTCAGTAAACATCGTCCTGATAAGTTAATGGTCTCAATCTGTAGTTTAAAGTCTTCTTCAAATCTGCATGATGTTCATTTATTAAATGATGGTCCCATTTAGAGTAAAATAGACGATAAAGCAACGCATGTTTTAGGGTAAGGCTACCTGTGATTGACAGGTGTGTTACTTGTGTCTTTGCAGTGGCGAACCGTCAGGGCCTTCAAGGTATTCAGAGAATACCCTGGAACACTCAGATAAAACAAACACAATCGATTTAATTATATTAATAAAATGTATATAAAATTAATAAATGAGAATTGGATCTGTGTTGTTGATCTGTAATATTACAGTGTTACGTTGATTTGTTTGTCTTTGTCGGACCATGCACTACGCATTTCAGTGGTTTTGTGTTAGAAAAGAAAGCAACCAATCAGATCTTGTTCTGGGTCTCTGGTGTGTGTCTACAGAAGGTCCAGTTGTGATAGACACGGTTTGCCACTGTGTCTTTGTCTTAAACTCTTCATGGTTTATGTTTCAACTTCATTATAGTTCATTGTAACCGTACAGTCTCATAAAAAGTCTCAGTTTATCTGCTTTCCCCTCGTGTTGCATCTGGATGCAACAAAAAAAAATGGCAACCTTAAGGCTTTAACAACAGAGTCAATATCCTTGCTCGATTATTACATGAAAACCAATTTTCATAAAGGTTTATTTTATATGTCTTATACATACAGTTCGTTTGCTAGGGAAGCTACTATCTAACATCAGCTACCAAAAATAATTTTACCGACATCCTTCTTTGTCAGTTTTTACTATGAAACTCCAATCATTGCTGACGTGTTTTTGTAACTACGTCTAACTTACACTGCAGCGATCTTTATGAACTTCTTGAGCAGCATGGCTCTCTTCATCAGGTCCTCACAGAGGCACAGCTCCGTCACCACCCAGTACTGAACCTCGTTGAAGCGCCGCACAAAACGCTCCAGGTTAGCCGTGATGGCGCCGTGGAATTTATGGCGGCCGAATATGTAGTAGACAAGCTCCACCTGCAGAAACAGGGAGTTACAGTCAGGTGAAAAATAAATCAAAGAGGTTACAATATAGTCGTGCAGGAATTCATCTTTAAACCCGGAAATTAGTTAGCATTTAGCAATTCCTGTACCCCTGGTCTGGAGGTCTTGAGATATAAGGTCTTAAAGGTAAGGTAAGGTGAAGGGATTTTAAGGTTTTGTTCTACGACATGAAATACCTCAGTAAATACCCCAATGGTGAATTTAAAAACGGTGGTTGCTAACAAGTGTCTAAATGAAATGACTAAACGTCATCACGCCAAACATTAGCCTCCTTTAGCTTAGCGGTGGTGACGTGAAGTCATGTGACCGTGCTGTAGTTCCTTTATAGCCCAACATTAGCCGCCTTTAGCTTAGCGGTGGTGACGTGAAGTCATGTGACCGTGCTGTAGTTCCTTTATAGCCCAACATTAGCCGCCTTTAGCTTAGCGGTGGTGACGTGAAGTCATGTGACCGTGCTGTAGTTCCTTTATAGCCCAACATTAGCCGCCTTTAGCTTAGCGGTGGTGACGTGAAGTCATGTGACCGTGCTGTAGTTCCTTTATAGCCCAACATTAGCCTCCTTTAGCTTAGCGGTGGTGACGTGAAGTCATGTGACCGTGCTGTAGTTCCTTTATAGCCCAACATTAGCCGCCTTTAGCTTAGCGGTGGTGACGTGAAGTCATGTGACCGTGCTGTAGTTCCTTTATAGCCCAACATTAGCCGCCTTTAGCTTAGCGGTGGTGACGTGAAGTCATGTGACCGTACTGTAGTTCCTTTATAGCCCAACATTAGCCACCTTTAGCTTAGCGGTGGTGACGTGAAGTCATGTGACCGTGCTGTAGTTCCTTTATAGCCTAACATTAGCCGCCTTTAGCTTAGCGGTGGTGACGTGAAGTCATGTGACCGTACTGTAGTTCCTTTATAGCCCAACATTAGCCACCTTTAGCTTAGCGGTGGTGACGTGAAGTCATGTGACCGTGCTGTAGTTCCTTTATAGCCCAACATTAGCCGCCTTTAGCTTAGCGGTGGTGACGTGAAGTCATGTGACCGTGCTGTAGTTCCTTTAGAGCCCAACATTAGCCACCTTTAGCTTAGCGGTGGTGACGTGAAGTCATGTGACCGTGCTGTAGTTCCTTTATAGCCCAACATTAGCCACCTTTAGCTTAGCGGTGGTGACGTGAAGTCATGTGACCGTACTGTAGTTCCTTTATAGCCCAACATTAGCCACCTTTAGCTTAGCGGTGGTGACGTGAAGTCATGTGACCGTGCTGTAGTTCCTTTATAGCCCAACATTAGCCGCCTTTAGCTTAGCGGTGGTGACGTGAAGTCATGTGACCGTGCTGTAGTTCCTTTAGAGCCCAACATTAGCCACCTTTAGCTTAGCGGTGGTGACGTGAAGTCATGTGACCGTGCTGTAGTTCCTTTATAGCCCAACATTAGCCACCTTTAGCTTAGCGGTGGTGACGTGAAGTCATGTGACCGTACTGTAGTTCCTTTATATCTAACGTTAGCTTTTCACTTCAGAAATCATAAAGTGGTGTTAATATGTGGAGAACTCTAATGAACAAAACGTGTAAGTATCATAAACGTTGTGTAATATTTTCTGATAAAACCCAAAATCCAATTGAGGAATCCCATTAGCTTTTTGTGGAAGGAACCAGGGAGATGCTAACCAACGAGAAAACGTAATCCCAGCACCACACTAAAGATGACTTTGTGATTATGAAACATGTGAAGCATGCAGGAAGTGTCGCACCAGATGATCTGATGGCCCAGAGCCAGACAGTGTGACTCATCACTTTGAATTCATCAAGGAGACATGCAGTCCTTTGGAGAAACGAGGAAATATCTGACTGTCGGCTGAGCCTTAATTTGAAGTGTAAACAAGCAGTTTCCTGTGCGTCAGATGTGAAATTGTACATCATCTCTGCTGCGTTACCTCGTGCATGGCGGTGAACAGCTCCCAGTCGTAGTTGGTGAGTTCAGAGGCGATATCTTTAGATCCCATCTGCTCCAGGACGTCCAGGGTGCCTTGATCGGGCCCCTGCTGCTCCTTCAGGGGCGTCTGGGAGAAATAAAATAATAATAATTATACGTTTAGTTAGTATAGCAGCTTTCACAGAAATAGAATTCACAAAGTGCTTCACAAGAAAGAACAAAAGTTGAAATTAAGACCACAGAAACATGATTACAATAACAACATGGAGGCCGAAATGTAAGGTCAACATAAAAACTAAACACAGACCACATAGAGTCCTGAAAGGAACCAACATAAGAACAGAACACATCACACACATCTCAAGTAGAAAAACAAAAGCCAATGTAAAAAGATAGGTCTTCAGTAGTTTTTTAAAAGCTTCTACAGAGACTGCAGAGCGGATGTCAAAAGAGATGTGAGCGTTCCTTTGATGGCTTTAAGGGCAGGAAACTGAATCAAACCAGCAGTAAGGGAGTAGTGAACTACATGTAATTTGGTTCACAGAAGAAAGTCTGCTTCTTCCATCGCAGACAAAAAAACACCTGTTTCCACTGCTCCACAGAGGTGGGAAGTAGTGGAATACAAATACTTCGTTACTGTACTTAAGTACATTGTTTTGGTATCAGTACTTTACTCCACTACTTTTTTTTCTGACGACTTTTTACTTTGACTTCTTACATTTTGAACACAAATACCTGTACTTTCTACTTCTTACATGTTGAACTCAAATACCTGTACTTTCTACTTCTTACATGTTGAACTCAAATACCTGTACTTTCTACTTCTCACATGTTGAACTCAAATACCTGTACTTTCTACTTCTTACATGTTGAACTCAAATACCTGTACTTTCTACTTCTCACATGTTGAACACAAATACCTGTACTTTCTACTTCTTACATGTTGAACTCAAATACCTGTACTTTCTACTTCTTACATGTTGAACACAAATACCTGTACTTTCTACTTCTTACATGTTGAACCCAAATACCTGTACTTTCTACTTCTTACATGTTGAACTCAAATACCTGCACTTTCTACTTCTTACATGTTGAACCCAAATACCTGTACTTTCTACTTCTTACATGTTGAACTCAAATACCTGTACTTTCTACTTCTCACATGTTGAACTCAAATACCTGTACTTTCTACTTCTTACATGTTGAACCCAAATACCTGTACTTTCTACTTCTTACATGTTGAACCCAAATACCTGTACTTTCTACTTCTTACATGTTGAACTCAAATACCTGTACTTTCTACTTCTCACATGTTGAACTCAAATACCTGTACTTTCTACTTCTTACATGTTGAACTCAAATACCTGTACTTTCCACTTCTTACATGTTGAACACAAATACCTGTACTTTCTACTTCTCACATGTTGAACACAAACACCTGTACTTTCTACTTCTTACATGTTGAACTCAAATACCTGTACTTTCTACTTCTTACATGTTGAACTCAAATACCTGTACTTTCTACTTCTCACATGTTGAACACAAATACCTGTACTTTCTACTTCTCACATGTTGAACACAAATACATGTACTTTCTACTTCTAACATGTTGAACTCAAATACCTGTACTTTCTACTTCTTACATGTTGAACTCAAATACCTGTACTTTCTACTTCTCTCATTTTCCAAACAGCTGGTTCCTTTAGTCTGAATGTGTGTTTGATGCGTGATCATTATTCTTTAGAGTCATTGCGTGCCTATTGATTTGAACACGATCCGTGTATCCATCATTTCCTGGTCTTCTCTAAAGAAGAGGGACCAATGGAAACGTTGTCATGTTGCCGTTGTTCAGCATGGAAACATTCATTAGCTAACAATGACATTATTGTTCTATTAATATAAAGGGAGGTCAGGTACTCTTTAAAGCAGCTGCTAGTTATGGGTACTTTTTGCTGAAGTACACTTCAAAGCCTCTTTACTTTGACTTGAGTAAAGAAGTTTAGTCAGTACTTCTACTTTCACCAGAGTATTTTTAAACACGAGTATCTGTACTTCTACTTGAGTAAAGGATGTGTGTACTTTTGCCATCTCTGCTGCTCCATGACCAATACAAATAATTGTTTTTAATTGATGTAGCACTCGAATATGTTTGGCTAATTGAAAGCATGTGTATCTGCACAATATCTTTCTCATCTCTCTCACCAGCTGATCCACCTGGCTGCTGCTGCAGACGAACAGCCGCTCGTTGAGTCCCATCGCTGTGAAAACTGCAGACGCATCCAGCTTCAACTGAGCTCTCTCTGTGTAAAACATATACAAAAAACTCATTTCAGGGCAGAAATTGGCAACGATATGAAGCTCTGCATGCTTTATTCTAACAATTTTACACGACCGGGCATTATACATTAAAAAAATCTCTGCACATTTGAATTTTTTGTAAGATTTGTCTTAAATATCTGAAGGAGAAATGGACGAAAACTCAGTAAACAAATGGAGAAAAAAGGACAGAACAAGATTGATACACTAGTTCAACAGTGAAAAAACAAATAATCAGCAAATCAATAAAAAAAAGGTAAAGGCAAGACACATTAAAAAAAAACAAGGAAAAGGATCAATCCATTAATAAAAAAAGTTTAAAAGCTGGAATAAAAAATTAGAATAAAATGAGTAAAAACCACAGTTAGTCAAAAATATAAATACATATAAAAAACGATGAATACAACTAATAAAAAATATCAAGAATGTGCACTCGTGCTTCCAGAGAGCGTAATCTTACCTCCCGATGAGTTCATTTTGACGAGGACGTGATCTCCTCCAGGTTGCACGGTTGCTGACATCACTTCCTGTACGGACGCGCTGACAGGAAGCATCAGAGTGAGCGGTCTGTAGTCCGGTCTGTAGATCTCATACAGAACTGCAGAGATAGACAACATGTCAGGATGTAATGATCTCATCAATTATGATTAAGTATCAAAACTAACCCACAAATACATGAGCCGATTGTCATTTTGAAAATAGTGAGTGGTGCAGGAATGAGTCCTAAACCCTGTCTGGATGTTCAATGGTTTGTTTTGTTTTTGAATGTGTTTGTTATCCTGAAATAAGGTCTGTGGTTAACACAAGAGATTTTAACTTTTGTTCTACGACATAACATACGTCAACAAGTGAACTACTGTACACTAACAAGTGTCTAAATGAGATGACATCACGCCCAACATTAGCCTCCTTTAGCTTAGCGGTGGTGACGTGAAGTCATGTGACCGACACACCAACACCCTTACCTCCTTTTCCCCTCTCTCTCCAAGTGAGGTTCTTACCCTCATTACCTCTGCCCGCCCTACCACCTGTCCTCTGGACCCTATCCCTTCAAACCTCCTTCAGACTATCGCTCCTGATATTCTACCGTTTCTCTCCCATTTCATCAACACTTCTCTAACTTCTGGTCACTTTCCAAACAGTCTCAAGGAGGCAAGAGTAAACCCTCTCCTAAAGAAACCCACTCTCAACCCGTCTGATGTTATAAACTACAGGCCTGTCTCTCTCCTCCCGTTCCTGTCTAAAACACTTGAACACGCTGTCTTTAAACAACTCTCCTGTTATCTCAATCAGAACAACCTTCTGGATCCGCACCAGTCTGGTTTCAAGGCAGGTCACTCCACAGAAACTGCTCTCATTGCTGTCACGGAGGAACTGCACACTGCCAAAACTGCATCCCTCTCCTCTGTCATCATCCTGTTGGACCTGTCTGCTGCATTCGACACGGTGAATCATCAGATCCTCCTTCGCACTCTCCAAAAACTTGGAGTTTCAGGCTCTGCACTTTCCCTCCTCACCTCATACCTGAAAGACTGTACCTACAGGGTGACTTGGAGAGGGTCCGAGTCCGACCCTTGTCAATTAACTACGGGGGTCCCTCAGGGCTCTGTTCTTGGTCCCCTCCTCTTCTCCCTGTACACAAACTCGCTCGGATCAGTCATTAGCCCGCATGGTTTTTCTTACCACTGCTACGCTGACGACACCCAATTAATTCTGTCCTTTCCCCGCTCAGAGACCCAGGTCGTCGCACGCATCTCTGCTTGTCTAGCTGACATCTCTCAGTGGATGTCTGCTCACCACCTCAAGCTCAACCTTGACAAGACTGAGCTGCTCTTCCTCCCGGGAAAAGATTGTCCCACTCTTGACCTAACAATCAACATCGGCACCTCAGTTGTTTCCCCGACTCAGACTGCAAGGAATCTGGGTGTGACCCTAGATAACAACCTGTCCTTCACTGCAAACATCGCTGCTACAACCCGCTGCTGCAGATACACGCTTTACAACATCAGGAAGATACGTCCCCAGCTGACTCAGAAAGCGACTCAGGTTCTGGTCCAGGCTCTCGTCATCTCACGCCTAGACTACTGCAACTCCCTCCTGGCTGGTCTACCTGCATGTGCCATCCGACCTCTGCAGCTCATCCAGAATGCAGCGGCTCGTCTGGTCTTCAACCTTCCTAATTCTCCCACACCACTCCGCTCCTCCGCTCCCTTCACTGGCTTCCGGTAACTGCTAGAATCCACTTCAAGACACTGGTACTTGCTTACCATGCTGCGAATGGATCTGGCCCTTCCTACATCCAGGACATGGTTTAAACCGTACACCCCAGCGCGTGCACTACGCTCTGCATCGCCAAACGACTCGTTGCGCCCTCGCTGCGAGGGGGACCCAAGTTCCCATCGGCGAAAACACGTGGTTTGCTGTCCTGGCTCCAGGATGGTGGAATGAGCTCCCCATTGACATCAGGACGGCAGATAGCTTGCACATCTTCCGGCGCAAACTGAAAACTCATCTCTTTCGACTCCACTTCGAGCGTTAGAACTATTAACGAAGCACTTTTATACTAATAAAGGACTGGCTTATCTAAAGCCAGTTGAGTAGCACTTGAAATGTTTGGCTCTATGAAACCTGATGTACTTATATGATTCTGTTTTCTTCAAGGTTGTGTCTTCCTGGTCGAATGTACTTATTGTAAGTCGCTTTGGATAAAAGCGTCAGCTAAATGTAATGTAATGTAATGTAATGTAATGTGACCGTGCTGTAGTTCCTTTATAGCCCGACATTAGCCACCTTTAGCTTAGCGGTGGTGACGTGAAGTCATGTGACCGTGCTGTAGTTCCTTTATAACCCAACATTAGCCTCCTTTAGCTTAGCGGTGGTGACGTGAAGTCATGTGACCGTGCTGTAGTTCCTTTATAGCCCAACATTAGCCTCCTTTAGCTTAGCGGTGGAGACGTGAAGTCATGTGACCGTGCTGTAGTTCCTTTATAGCCTAACATTAGCCTCCTTTAGCTTAGCGGTGGTGACGTGAAGTCATGTGACTGTGCTGTAGTTCCTTTATAGCCTAACATTAGCCTCCTTTAGCTTAGCGGTGGTGACGTGAAGTCATGTGACCGTGCTGTAGTTCCTTTATAGCCCAACATTAGCCTCCTTTAGCTTAGCGGTGGTGACGTGAAGTCATGTGACCGTGCTGTAGTTCCTTTATAGCCCGACATTAGCTAAGATATAACACTATAAAAGCCTAGGTCTGTTAAATTATCAAAAAACTAAATATAATGATATTTAATCATTTATGTCAATGACGTTTTCATCATTAAAAAAGAATAAAATATAGAAAATCAGATGCAAGCAGAACATGAACATGGATCATCCCTTAAAGATGATAATATCACTATAAAAAGGAAGTTATAAATAACAGAGTTTGAGGTGTTGTTGATGTACACAGTTTTTACTCGCCTTTATCCTGCGCTCTGATTGGCTGTAACCTCCCCACCGGCTCCTCACAGTTTGAGAACCAATCAAACTGCTGATTCTATAAAGAGTGACTCAGAGAATCAGTGACAGTCACGTGAGAAATTACATTAGCGTGACATTTTCACAGTTTTCTCATTCATGCATATCTCTGATGTTAATTTAAACTCACCCTGCTCAGAGACTGGTATCCATTCTCCGGTCTGTGAAGATATCAGAGGAGAAAAAACACTTTTAGATGACAGGCTGCAATATGCATTACTTTATAATGTCATTTAAATATCAGATTTGATAAAGATAAAAGAGATCATTTACACTTTTGTTCTCCTCCGGTCTCTAAATTGATCTTTCAGCATGCTGGTCAGACGATAGTCAACGGCCACCTCCTTCTTCAACCTCTGTTTACAAAAATATTTAAAAAGCAATTGCATCATTATCTATTTGCCTCAAATACAGTACATTTTAAAATGAAATGTTACAGAAGTGATTGCTACATAAAATGGTCAAATTTTAATATGGCTGCAATGAGCATGTTTTCAAGTTTTCACATTATCATGAAATACAAAGTTATGAAGGTATACATTTTTTTTTCTGTTTTAAATAACATTTTACATCAAAATTCAGGATCTCGCCACGTCTCAACCCAAGCATGAAGTATAATTTACTCAAATCAAATTGTGTAAAAAAGCCAATGCGTTCTCTCTAATGTCCAGCAGGGGGCAATACAAACCAAGTAAGATTGCACGGAAGTTTAGGAGAAGATGTTCCTACTGTTCTCTTGATTAATTACCACAGATTGTATAGAAGTCTACGAAAAAAATATTACTACTTCTCTCTTGAGTTTCTACCTCAGATTGTACAGAGATCTATAAGAAAATGTGGGTATTTCTCTCTTGATTTATTACCTCAGATTGTATAGAAGTCTACGAGAAAATTAGGCTTCTTCTCTCCTGAGTTAATCCCTTAGACTGTTTAGAGATCTATAAAAAAATTAGGGGATTTCTCTCTTGATTTATTAACTCAGATTGTATTTTATCTTACAACTTTAACTTGTTTAATCGGTGGTAAAACAGTGAATACATCCCCTTGTTATTTATATAAAGAAGTAACATTTTTCAGGGTAAAACGTTAAAAAACCCATCTTGTTTTAATAAACTTCCCATAAGGTGATACAGATTACCTCTCAGTATGCTCCTGTACAAATCGTAAATATTCCAATACACAAAATGAATAAATCTCACCTCCAGAGAGTCCATAGCGATGGAGTCTTCTTTCAGCAGGAGTCCGTACAGCGCCACCCACTGGCCGATCAGCTTCACCACCTTCTGCTTGGTGGTGCGGACGTAGTTCGCCTTCTCCTGATCCGAACCCTCGAAGAGCTTTGAATTATAGGTGCAGGGGCGATTAAGGAGCAAACTGAGAATCAGAAACAATTACGAGACACTGTGTGTTGGACACTGAAGGTAGCATCTCTCTGGTCATATGGTATTTGTGTTCAGCAGGATAATCTCCACATATCAACACCACTTTATGATTTCTGAAGTAAAAAGTTAACGATAGGCTATAAAGGAACCACAGCACGGTCACATGACTTCACGTCACCACCGCTAAGCTAAAGGAGGCTAATGTTGGGACTATAAAGGAACTACAGCACGGTCACATGAATTTGCGTCGCCACCGCTAAGCTAAAGGCGGCTAATGTTGGGCTATAAAGGAATCTACAGCACTGGTGACAATGACTTCATGTCGCCACCGCTAAGCTAAAGGAGGCTAATGTTGGGCTATAAAGGATCTACAGCACGGTGACAAGACTTCATGTCGCCACCGCTAAGCTAAAGGAGGCTAATGTTGGGCTATAAAGGAACTACAGCACGGTCACATGACTTCGCGTCACCACCGCTAAGCTAAAGGAGGCTAATGTTGGGCTATAAAGGAACTACAGCACGGTCACATGACTTCGCGTCGCCACCGCTAAGCTAAAGGAGGCTAATGTTGGGCTATAAAGGAACTACAGCACGGTCACATGACTTCGCGTCACCACCGCTAAGCTAAAGGAGGCTAATGTTGGGCTATAAAGGATCTACAGCACGGTCACATGACTTCGCGTCGCCACCGCTAAGCTAAAGGAGGCTAATGTTGGGCTATAAAGGAACTACAGCACGGTCACATGACTTTGCGTCACCACCGCTAAGCTAAAGGTGGCTAATGTTAGGTTATAAAGGAACTACAGCACGGTCACATGACTTCACGTCACCACCGCTAAGCTAAAGATGGCTAATGTTGGGCTATAAAGGAACTACAGCACGGTCACATGACTTTGCGTCACCACCGCTAAGCTGAAGGCGGCTAATGTTAAATAAATAAATAAATACATTTAATTTATATAGCGCTTCTCATCTGCCAAGACAAATCTCGAAGTGCTTAATGATGTTTAGTCGTCTCATTTAGACACTTGTTAGCAACCTCTGTTTTTTAATATGTTAAAAAATATATATTTTGATCTGTTTTTGGAGGATATTGGTGCTGTAGAGCCCGGCACAGCTGGCTCGATGGCATGAAGAGTTTGTGTGTGAGCAGGAAGTCGCTGACACAGGGATCTGCAGGGAGACACACAAACAACAACACACACACACACAAACGACAACACACACACACAAACAACATCACACATTTAACTATTAGCTAAACGTATCGGATCATAATGAATCCCTCCGTAAAGATGCCTGCAGGCTCACCTATGGCGTCATTTCCATTCGAGTCCAGCTTCACCGTGTCCAGCAGATGCTCCAGGATCTTCTCTGGAGTTCCTGACATCACTGTGTACCTGCAGAGAGAGAAACAACAGATTAGTTCCTAACATTAGTATGTCCTTTCGTCCAAAACGCAGCTGCACGTCTTCTGACTGGCCACAAAAAGCGTGACCACATCACCCCAATTCTGGCCTCACTACACTGGCTTCCAGTTCGGTTCAGAATTGATTTTAAAATCCTTTTATTTGTTTTTAAAGCACTAAATGGTTTAGCTCCTGCCTATATAGCTGAACTCCTCCAGCGCTACACCCCAGGCAGAGCTTTAAGGTCTGCTGACCAGCTGCTGCTGGTAGTGCCTAAGACCAGGCTCAAAACCCGAGGGCACCGAGCCTTCGCAGCAGCAGGCCCCAGGCTCTGGAACACTCTGCCCCTCCATGTGAGGTCGGCCCAGACCCTAGGGGCTTTTAAATCCACACTGAAGACACACTACTCCTCTCTGGCCTTCTAGTCAGAGTGGGGTCACGACTCCTGACTGTTCCATGTGTTGCTTTATCTGTTGTGATTTATTGTGATGTAATGTGTTTTTTATGTGTTTAAATTACATGTACAGCACTTTGGCTCGACCAAAATCGTTTAGAAATGTGCTCTACAAATAAAATTTGATTTGATTTGACTTTGTATTTATCTGCATGCATGCATCGTGCATGGTTTGTGAGTTTAAAATAGTTCAGGGACGACAACTAACATAGCTAGAGACAATATGTCATTTTTGTCAGAGTGAGTCTGTCTCATAACTGAAGTGTTTGTCAGTTTATCTGAAATGTCTAGGTTAGCTACGTTAGCTAGCTAGCTTACAGCAGATCTGCAGTAACACCAGAAGGAGTCATGTGATCACATTGTTCAAATAAGATCATCAAACATTTTAGGTAAATTTCCAACAACAGAGACAGTTGTTCAGCTTTATCATCCTGAACGTCACCAAGCGCTCCGTCCCAGCTGTGTGCGTCACTCTTTAGTGTCCCCTGGTCTCCCAACTATGTGCGTCACTTTTTAGTGTCCCCTGGTCCCCCAACTATGTGCGTCACTTTTTAGTGTCCCCTGGTCTCCAGCTATGTGCGTCACTTTTTAGTGTCCCCTGGTCTCCAGCTGTGTGCGTCACTTTTTAGTGTCCCCTGGTCTCCCAGCTGTGTGCGTCACTTTTTAGTGTCCCCTGGTCCCCCAACTATGTGCGGCACTTTTTAGTGTCCCCTGGTCTCTAGCTGTGTGCGTCACTTTTTAGTGTCCCCTGGTCTCCAGCTGTGTGCGTCACTTTTTAGTGTCCCCTGGTCTCCCAGCTGTGTGCGTCACTTTTTAGTGTCCCCTGGTCTCCAGCTGTGTGCGTCACTTTTTAGTGTCCCCTGGTCTCCAGCTGTGTGCGTCACTCTTTAGTGTCCCCTGGTCTCCAGCTGTGTGCATCACTCTTTAGTGTCCCCTGGTCTCAAGCTGTGTGTGTCACTCTTTAGTGTCCCCTGGTCTCCCAGCTGTGTGCGTCACTCTTTAGTGTCCCCTGGTCTCAAGCTGTGTGTGTCACTCTTTAGTGTCCCCTGGTCTCCCCGCTGTGTATGTCACTTTTTAGTGTCCCCTGGTCTCCAGCTGTGTGCGTCACTTTTTAGTGTCCCCTGGTCTCCAGCTGTGTGCGTCACTTTTTAGTGTCCCCTGGTCTCCCAGCTGTGTGCGTCACTCTTTAGTGTCCCCTGGTCTCAAGCTGTGTGTGTCACTCTTTAGTGTCCCCTGGTCTCCCAGCTGTGTGCGTCACTCTTTAGTGTCCCCTGGTCTCAAGCTGTGTGTGTCACTCTTTAGTGTCCCCTGGTCTCCAGCTGTGTGCGTCACTTTTTAGTGTCCCCTGGTTTCCGTTGTTATTTGAGCTTTTTGCAGCGTTTTGTTTATGCACCGCTTTTAGTTAACTTTACGCTTGTTGATCAAGTTGGTGAATATTTTCTAAATGATGCATGTGTTGTCAAGTTGTTGAAGATGTCTCTTCATCTTCATGTGTTTTGCACCTGTCGGCCTAATGATACTGATACTAATGGCATGAGGTCCAATTATGCAACACCGGTGAATAATAGGCTCCTCAGAGAATAGCTGCTGGTTGTTTGGTGTAAAACCAAGAGAGGATGGCTGAAGGTGTGAACGTACGGCAGGTCAACCTTAATTCACTTTAATATTTGCTAAAACACTTCCACACTGATAAGAAGTCGTTCAGCACGGCGGGGTTAGAGTCCATGTCTTTGAGCTGTCAGATAACAGCTGATTAATAACACCTAAACCACGTACAGTATGACACACAGAGCTGCCCACGCCCACTCTGAGTGTGTGACTGAGTGTAAACCAGAGGCTGTTGTTTGTGTGTGTGTGTTTCTCACTTGCTGTTGTTAGCTGCTCCTCCAGTCTCCTCCCCCTCGCTCCTCTCCAGAACCAGCACAGACTTCCCGTGCTCCTCCAGCCGCACCGTGTTCGCCTCCACATCCTGCAGGACAAACACACACATGCACGATGAGGCAAATTCATAATCAGTGTGTTTGTGGATCTGAATCTGTCTGAAAATATTTAGATGTTTGACATTATCTAGACGAGAGCATTTCCGAGTCATTTTAGCTTAATTTATATTGTGTTGAAACGCAGCATTTCTGCACAGCTGCA